CGTCAGAGGGAGAAAGCCTGGTGATCTCCAGGAAAACAAAGGATCGGATGCAGATTACATTCGAGGATTCTGAGACGTTTCCTGTGGGTAACTCTTAAGTCGGTTGTTGGTTGGTAGATGTGGCATGGGAAGCCATGGACTTCGCTCTTCAGCTTCTGCGGCCGCCGCTGCGGCGTCTGCCTCTTTTTTCTCCTGGCACTCTGGTGCAGCTTCTTCATGCTCAGCGATTCCCTTCTCAGCTTCCACCGGGGTGGCATCTGGCGGGCCTACTTCGTGGCAACGCCCGAGATGTGGGATTCCATCCATCGCCACGGGCAAAGCTCTCCGGGCGGCATCTGGAAATATGACCAGGCTAAAATGGAGGCCAACCACGCTGTCAGATACCTATTTCGGAAGACGTACACCACGCTGCTGGACGTCTCCTGCAACGTCGGCTTCACCTTGGCCAACCTACTCCGCCACCATCCGACAGCCAAGCACTTTGGGACCGACATTAGCACAGTCATGGTGGACGCGACCCAGAGAAACTGCCCCAACTGTCTGGCTGCACAGTTCGACTTGGGCCGTCTCCAAGACATCGGGAGCGCTCCGATGCTGCGGAAAGCTTGGCCCAACGAGGAGGTTCCGGAAGCTTTCGACGTGATTCTGGTCTCCGACGTGCTGAGCTCAGTTGGGTGTTTCAGATCAATTATTGGCCAATCCCCACCCCTTTAATCAATGTAGGATGGTGGGCGGCGCATACACGGAAAACAGACCTCCTGCATTCTCTGGGTCTGGCAAGGGGTCGGTGGGGCGGGGGTGGGTGGGTATACCCCTCCCATTGTACAATGGTGCCGGGTCAGTGCCAGAAAGGCATAACGAGATCTTCGAAGATAGCTGTGGGCGGTTGCATGTCTGGGTTCAAGGTTTCGGGGTTTAGGGTTTCTGGGTTTAGGCTTTCTAACTTCAGGTTCATGGGTTTAGGGGTTTAAGGTTTCTGGGTTCAGGGTTTCTGGGCTTGGGGGTTCAAGAAGTTTCTGGGTTCCAGGTTTCTGGGCTTAGGGGTTCAGGGTTTAGTGTTTCTGGGTTTCTGAGTTTAGGGTTTAGGGGTTTCTAGGCTCGGGATTTATGGGTTTAGGGTTTAAGGTTTCTTTTCTGGATTTAAGGTTTAGGGCCTGTTTAGGGGTGAGGGTTTCTGGATTTGTCTGCAACGTTTGCTAGACTGATTTTGCCGCCAAATCACGCTAGCCCTCGAGCCAGCATATGCGCAACGAGTGGCAACGACATGGATTGAGTACCCGAACGTGGCAAGCCGCCGTGGAATACTTTGATCTTTCCTTGCCGCGACGCCTGTAGACTGCACCAGCAAGCAATGTTTTCTCGGCGGTTCTTGGTAAAGCCGATGGGACCCTGAATGGATATCCACAGACGACATTGTAAACTGGACAGGGGGGGAGCGGGGAACAGAACTCTCGTCTTTTTCTGTAAGCTTCCAGTGTCCGTCGCGGGCTGAATGCAGGCAGAGCCGACCCTGACCCTTTCTGTGTCGGTAGGACCGTTAAGACAAGGGCGACAAGAGCGTCAATCCTTGCGCTCACTTCTTTTTGTCTTTCTCGTCACCCTGCTTGCTTCTTTCTGAATTCAACATGTGCGCAGTCCTTCATCCGCCCTTCAGGTTCTGATCTACATCAGCTGGGGCGGGATGCCGCCTTTCTTCCTGCGGTGTGACTGCTGTTGCTCTCTGTTCCGCAGCTGGGCCTTGTCCTACCAGAAGACCTTCCTTGAAAACATCGCCAGCCTGGCCAGTGACGAGGTCGTGTTCTCACAACACCAGAACAACATCGTAGTAACTACCATGATGAGAGACCTGAATGTCCACTTCGATGAGGAACGGGGTGTCTGGAGGCTTCCGGGCAAGGCGAAAAGAAATGCCACCGCTTGAGAGCGGGCTGCGAAAACCTCGAAAAAAGCAGCACAGAGTCGCAGAGCATCCAGGACCAGGCTTTTCGAGGCGGAGCGACCAGACGGATCCAAGCTGCGCGGGCCGAGCCCTGGCGACAAAAACGAAGCAGCGGCCGTGCCAGGACCGTGCCTCAGGGGCCGAGAATCTTGCCGGGGGTGCGCTGCTGCAGCAGACCCTGGATCAAGAACGCGGGCACCTTCCATTCGTCTCATGCCCACATTGCTTATGCCAGATGCAGCCCTGACCTACCTGGTATGACCAACTCAATAGGAGCACTGACGCTGTAGATACTTCCTATAACCACGCACAGCAGCAAAGACACAGACATGACCAGCCTGTACCCGGCCAGCACGGCTGTTGAATGAAGCTTTCGCTGCCATGGCTGTGGCTTCTGAGCTTCGTTTGGAGCGTTTGCAGCTGGAGCTGTCAAAAGTGGGAAGAGAGCCGGAAAGGCTTCTGGGAAGCCTTGGAGGCGAGGAGGCCATGGGTGCAAGCTCCGGCCCCCGACTTCGACGACTTCGACTTCGACTGCCCGCCGGCCGCGGTGACGGTGCTAGCCTTCCAGCTGCTGGCCGACCTGGAAGCCGGAGATGCTTTGAGTCAAGAGAGGCTCCTTCAACTGGAGGAGCTCTTGAGGCATGCTTTCGCTTTCGGAGGCGGAGGCTCCGGAGGCTCCCAGTTGGCCCTGGCCGCGATGCTCTGCTCGGGCTTTCCAGTCTTCGGCGTGCTGGACTGGCTCGCAGAGATCGTCGACTCGACCGACGGCGGTGGCCTTGCAGACTGTGTTGGCGTCCGTGCCGATCAGTTCCACCGAGCGCTTCACCACCACGTGCGGCGATTCGACCTTTCCGGGCCCCTGCCCATGCCTCTGCCGATGGCTGTGGCCCTGGACTTCCTCCTGGCCACGCGCGGCGACGGCGGCTCGGGCAGCTCCAGCTCGGCGCTGGGCTGCGGCGCCGGCCGGGCCGCAGCGACGTTGGCTCTGGCTTTGGCAGAGCTGCGCCCGGGCTCGTCGGGCTCGTCGGGCTCGGCCCGCGGCAACGAGACGTGTGGGGACGTGGGCCTGGGCTCAGAGGTTTTCGCGTTGCTCGCGAAGGCACAGAGGCTTTTTCTGGAAGAGGAAGGCTCCTTGGCCCTTCGGCTGCTGCATCGGAAGTGGTTGCTTGCCAGGCTGCTGCACGAGCTTAGCCGCTGGCTTAGCCGGCTACCGGTCTTGCCGAAGGAGCCCTCGGAGGATTGCCTGATTCTGATCTACACCTTCCCGACGGAGGAGATCCGCAGGGACGTGCGGAAAGCCCTGGCATCCTTGCAGTCGAACTTCGTGGAGGCACCCGGCCGAGGTGGGCCTCGGCCTCGGCGGCCTCGACTGGTGGTCTTCGTGGACGCGGAGAGCGAGCGCTTGCTTTCCGCGGACCTGCGGCCCTTCACGAGCCTGGAGATCCAAGCGGCCTTGATCCCAGAGGAGGAGCTTCGCCGGCCCATGCCCTCCTACAGCTGCCAGCAAGGCGAGTTCTGCGTTTCTGGAGATGCGGAGATGGAATTTCAAGTGGATGCCCACCGCGCCAAGGTGAACGGGACGCAGTACTGGTCTCCCACCTATCTGCGCATCTCGCGCTACACTGCAGGGCCCCTCTTCCTCCATCCTGCTTTGGACTCTTGCAGGCATTTCCTCAAGATCGACACAGACTTCTTCTTTACTCAACCTCTTCAGCAGGACCCCTTCCAGCACATGAAGGACTCGGGCCTTCGCCTGGGCTACTGGCAGATCCACGTGCAAGGCCAGAGACAGGAGGGCTACATGGAAGCCTCCCTGGCTTTCTTGGAGGACACCCCCGAATTGTCGCTGAAATCCCCCAGGGAGCACCTCCTTCGCCTCCAGCTCGCAGCTCCCGTGAGGAGCAGCAGCTGCGCATCCGCAACCGCCGCTTCGACGCGCGCGGCCGCTTCGAAGAGAAGGCGAAAAAGCTGCAGATCTCACTGGAGTCGGTCCCGGTGGCGCTGCAGGCGTCCACCGTGCTGTTCCTCGGAGCGTTGTTTCTTTTGGGGGCCGGTTCGGTGTTCGATGGTTCAGAAAGCCTTCAACGACATCCGAGGTACGGCTGCCTCTTTGGCGGCGACACGCGCTTCTTCCGCGAGCCGCTGTACCAGTCCTTCTTCGAGTACATGGATCGTCGCCGAGGTGCTCCACTGCCAACAAGGGGGGTTTACAGTAGACATGCACCTTTCCACCTACCTCCGCTTATGTTTATATCTTTTATCTTTCCAAGCAACCAAGCAACCAACCAAGCACTCAGTCAGTCAGTGAGTCAACCAATCAACCAACTAGTCTCTCCATCTTTAGATCTATCCATAGAGCTCTCAATTTATCCATCTGCCTGCCTGCCTGTCCCTTCGCAGGCTTCGAGCGTCATGGTTGGAGCAATCAGCCCGGCGGCTGCAAAGCAGCCTTGTCCGAGCCTTGAGGGTCCCCGGAGGTTTGGGGGAGCCCTTTCAAGGTTCTTCCTGGGCACCGCAGCGGCGGCCTTTCTGGCGCCCAGTGAGGTGGGAGCTCTAGAGCCAGGCAGAGGCATCAGAGTGCTCGGTTTCCTGAGGTGAGCCGGCTCTATGTCAGCGGCGTGCACCAGGACTACATGTTTCAGGGTGTGTCATTCTGAAGGGCAGCCAGGGGCTACAAGCCAAGCTCCGCGAACTGAACCATTCCTGATCGCATTGCTGGAAATGTGCTGAATAATCTGGAGAGTGGGGCCAAGGGGGGCGTTTGGGTGGCCTTTGTGTGCAGGAGTCCTCCATCAACGTGTCTGGCAGCAGCTTGGATGAGTGCTGAGGTCAAGCTTTGGGAGGAAGTCTGCAATTCCTCGCTGTTTTTAAGGTGAACTGACCGAGTACCTGCTGGGTGCAAGTCACAGCTTCATGCGGTGAGCGAAAATCTGGGAAAGCTCCCTTTACCGATCTCAGTTGAGACAGCTCCTGGCCTGCTTTCCTTCAGAAATGTCGTGCTCTACCGTGTTAGGCTCAAAAGGCTTCGATTCTGTAGAGACTCCTTCTGGGGCGCAGTGAGATGGCCTTCCGCTCGGCCAGGGCCCCGGCTGGGTCAAACTCCTTGGACCGATTTGAGCTCGGGCCTCGGGCCGTGAGGCGCGGCCACTCCGATTCCGCCTAACCAGGCTCTTGCGCGCAGGCGGGCCGCGGCGGGCGCGCGAGATCGAGATGCCTCCTCTATACTCTAGAGACGTATGCCTGTCTAAGTCTTTAGTGTGGCTTCTCAGTGCTCAGGAGGTGCAGAAGACGCAAAGCCCCGATGGACACTGCCTGAGGCCTCTGCTCGAAGTGACTCTGCTTGTCATGATAAGCGCAGCCAGTGACAGTGAGCCAGAGAGCCAGGCAGACTACCACAAATATACGTACCAGCCATCCATTCCGGACAAGCACTTCAACATCGGCCACTGGAACTATGACCGGACCCCAGTCCCAGTCCAGACAGGGAGAGATCAGAATTCAGAACTCCAAGCATGGCAGCGGCACTCCCGGTGATCCTGAGGCCCCCATCACCATGTGGCTGCGTGCTCGGCGCCCCGCCATGGAGAAAGTGCTGGGTGACGCGCGCGGCCAAGACTTCTCCTCTTCTCTCGTCCGGAAGCACTCACAGACCTGTGGCTCAGGTTTACACCACCCTCACCAGCACAGGAAGTGCCCTCTGGTCGCCCATCTATGCCCCCTGGCTCGAAGCAAGAGAAGGATCTTTCCAGTAGCAGGCCCTTTATGAGACACGCTCAGGGCAACATCCATGCCAACCTCCCTGGCTTCGGCTACAAGTTCCTCGGGCTGGTAGGCAGCGGGGCTTGGCCTCTCTGAGCTGCTTTGAAACCATCTGCACTGTGCTGCGGAGAGAGAGAGAGAGAGAGAGAGAGAGAGAGAGAGAGAGAGAGAGGCGCTCTGATCGGCTACAACCTGGCCGTCACTCGCCCGACATTTCTCTCTTGTATGAGTTTTTTCCACAGCCCTGCGTCCCTGAGCTTTCAGTGATGGAGGTTCTTGCTTTGATGAATGCACTTGCGTCTCAGGTCATGTACGTGACTTCCCGTACTGAGGCCAGAGAACTTCGGGCTTCGGACTAGTCTGCTTGTGTGTGTGTGTGTGTTTGTTTTTTATTTTGCCTGGTGAGGCGTGGATGTTCCTCGAGAAGATGCGTCTGTATGCCTTGGGCGATGAGCGACTCGGAAGTTGTTAGGGTTTGGGCACTGGCCAGGCCATGCTTGCAATGCTTCGGGGGCTCAGGCTAGTCAAGAAGGGCTTCTTCATGTCCGATGCAGAGGCACCCCGGGACCCGGACCGGATTCCCCAAAAGCTTACCCCAGCAAAACGGGTTGCCAGGAGGCGCACTCGCGCCAGCACAAGTACGACCACGAGGCCCCGGCCCCCGAATCGGATCGGAGCTGCCGAGCCGGCCGAGCCGGCCGAGCCGGCCGAGCCGGCCGAGCCTCGACAGGTGGAACGCCTGAACCATCTCTGGGAGGAGGTGGGAGAAGAGCGCGACATGAAGAAACCCTTCGGCAACTTCTGTTGTTGCTGGAATGGAAGACTGGAAGCATGCAGGCCATCTCCGACGCCACGCAAGCCAGATCCTTTGACAGGCGCCCACTGCAGACGTGCAGAGAGCAGGCTTTTGCAGCAGCCCTTGAGCTTCGTGCAGGCTGTGTGAGCATCTGGCCGTGGATTCTGAGAAGCTTCCGGTGACCGAGATCCCCAAGCCGCTCGTCGCAAGTCTCGAAGGGGAAGGCCCGCGGCTCTTGGGAAGGGGCGACGGCTGCGACGGCTGCGAGGCCGATCTCCTGGCGATTCAGCCTCATGCCGCCCGGAGCCCCAAAAAAAGAGATGAGAGTCTGAGAGCCTTTCTTCGTCATCTAACTTAAAAACTCCGTCCCAAACCGCCGCCAGGTATGGACGGGAGGACCCCGATGCCAAGACCTTCAGCTTCGCCCCCGTGGACTCACCGGCGGCCTTTCGCCTCGGAGGGAGAGAGGAGAGCGATTTGAGAGAGGAGACGAAGACCGCGGACCCCCCGAGGCCAGCAATTACTTCTTGCTGGACATGGGGAATTCCGGCGACTACATCGACCGCCAGGCCAAACTCCACTGCAGCCTCTGATCTCTGATGCCTGCGCCGCTGCGCCCTGTGAAATTTTGGGGCAGGACAACAAGCCGAATCCCATCCGCAAGGGCCGTCACATGTACACAGCTGCATACATGCCCCCGACGAAGTGAGCGGTTGGGTTTTTGCCTTTGGGCAGAGACCTGGCTGAGGTGCGCGAGCGATTTTTTTCATGGTTTAAGCACCGGAAGTCAGGAGCCCAAGCACCCCAGCCCAAGAGGTTTGCGGAGTCGGAATAAGAAAATGACAAGACTTTCCGTTGGGCTCCAGAATGCTTCAATAGACCTGCAGAGCGAGGTACGGGATATAGTGTGGTGATTTGCAATGCCGACATATATTGAAATCGCTGAGTGGAGAAAGAAGCTCCTCTGCGGTCTTGCGAACATTTGCGAACCTCATCCTGCAAGGCCCTCTGCAGTATGTCTCGGTTGTTCATTCCATGCCACAGCTCTGGCTCTCTGGCTCGCTCAGACATGGCGAGATAATGACAAGCGTTTACTCGAATCTTCCTGTCAGCAAAGCAGAGCAAATGGCTAGTTCTTGAGCAGGTTCATCGAAAGTAGAGATTTTCATCCACAGGTGCAGTGGATGCTGTCTCAAGGCAAGGCCTGACTGCAGCGCTTCAGTGGCTTAGGCTTAGGCTTTATAAACCTCGAACATCACGGAGCCTTGAGAAGGAAACACTCCTGGGCCTAAACCTACCCTGCTTTGCCAGCAGCGGCCGTCTGGAACAGGTGCCCGCACAGTTGGCGCTCCACCGGATGCAGCCGGCGTGTCCACGCCCGCGCCTTAGCCGAAGTCACAGGCCTTGCCAAGACAGGTTTCTCGTACTGCGGCGCAGCCAGGCTGCGCCTGGATGCGCCGAGCCGGCGACACGGCCATGCCCCTGCCCCTGGTGCGAGGCTCAGAGAGCTCAGCGTCAGAGTTGGGGGGCCGTTTTTGAGGTCTTCTATCCGCGTGAGGACGCCTCTGCATGGGCCCTGGCTCGAGACGAGGAGATAGTAGTAGGCATAGTCGCAGCATTTTTGCTGTTCGGAAAAACTTCAGGCCAGGCCGCCGTCGAGGAGCCTGTCCCACGCAGTGCTGAGAGGACCCTCCTTGCAGGGAACGATAAGTGTGCTCTTGCGGTGAGCTACGTAGAGGAGGAACCTCAAGCGTGCCAGCTCATCCGTTGGCTTCTTCTGCCTCCTCACCAGGCTCAGCCGTTGGAGAAAACCTTGTCAAGGGGCTGAGGGGAGCTTGCGCAGCCTTCTGCGGCGTGTTTCTGAAGCCTTCTGCCACGCTGCTCAGACCTTGTTGGCCTACGATCAGGCCGATCAGGCCGGGCGGAAGGGCGGCGGTCAAGGAATCGCGACACGCGCCGTGGCCCGTCGCGTCACCGCCAGGCAGGCAAGAGATCAAAGAGATCCCTCCTCTGCGGTTTCCTTCGCCACCGACGGGTCGGAGCCGGCTCGTGCAGGCCTCAGTCGGTCTCAAAAACTCACGCTCTGAGAGAGCCAGGCTACAGAGTGTGCCCACCCTACGCCAGCGACGCCCACGGCGGTGCTTGGACCTAAGTGGGAATTTGCCGGACCGGTGCCCAAAGACCCTGTAACCCGGGACGAGCTTGAACTCGCTCTTAGGACGGCCATGTGGGTTTGCGGAGCTCAGAGAGAGCCCCAGCAGTTCCGTCGACCGCGCCTTGGGAGGGACGCGCGAGGCGGAGAGGGATACAGAGATCCCCGAAGAAAAGCACAAGGAGTCGGAGTCGGAAAGAGGAGCAGCATAGAGTAGTACGAGTACTTATTGTAGATCCAATGCTCTCTTGGCTTTGTCCAGCCACGTCGCGTGTCGCCCCAAGACTGCTCGCGGTGGGTGCAGGTCGACGCAGCCAGCGGTGGCGCCGGCCACGTGGCACTACCGGCCACCCTCAACGCGCGGGCGCGAGCGCGACCAGTCCGTCGGCTCGGCGCGAGGCGCGAAGTCGGTTCGGCGGGCGAGCTCTGGGGGAAGTCTTCGTCTTGGGGTTTGAGAATTCGCAGGTTCGGAGCGCTCGACGTCCGGGCCTCGCGCCTCGCACCAATGCCAAGACCCTTTTCTTGCTTTCCCGAGCGAGGTCTTCGGCTTGCGTCGAGACCAGAGGCTTCAGAGGACCGAGGAATTCGAGACAGGAGGAGGCGGGGAGATGCGACAGAGAGCGGCGGGGCGAAGAAGGTGTGCGGTGACGTGCAGTGACTTTGGGACTGGGAGGCACGTGAGGCGATCTTGCGTGCGGCCTCGCCTCTGCGACCAACAGGCTCGAGCGGCGGAGCGCGCGGAGCGAGGGCTGAGAGGCGAGGGGAGAGTTGAGAGCCGTCCCCCTCGCCGCGGCGAGGATTGGTGCAGAGCTCCCAGCAGAGCAGAGACAGGCAGATGCTAGCTGCTGGCGCATGCTGGCGTGCTCTGGCGGGAACATGGGGCCATCGGGCGAGGCCCAAAGCGGCTGCGAGAGGCCGGCCTCGGCCGCAAGCGAGCAGAGGTGCCCTGCTGGCGGGCAACAAGATCTCACAGGCCTCTTGGGCCTTGCGGCCAGTTGCGGCCCAGTTGCAGCGTCGAATGCTGTCGTCTACGTTATAAGAACTGCGGAAACGGAGCCAGGCCCGCGCCGAGCTCCGCGCGAGGAGCCGGGATGAATCTCTTTGCGCGTGTCAACGTAGGGATTGCTTCGCGTGCTCTCAGCTCTGCTTTCCCCTGCGTCTGTGTCCGGTTGAACGAGCTCCGCGTGCCATAGCTCTGAACGTGATCACGGGTTCTGGAAGCATGATGGGCTAGTAGGGCCTAGCGGCGAGCGTGCTGTATCCTGTAGATTTTGTGTGGCGGCCCTGGAGACATGATGGGTCGTCAGCTTGAGAGTTACGGAGGCCAAGCTCAGAGGCTCAGGCCTGGCGCATGCTTCCTGCCTGCCTGCCGCCTGCCGCTGCTCACGAGAGGAGGGCCGCCGAGCTCCTCGCTGAGACCTTTCCAGAGAGCTGCAAGGCAGGCGGACTGGGACTGGGACTGAGTCGCGCGGAAAGAGCGGAGAGTCCTCGCAGGTCAGCCTTCGAGAAGCAGAAAAAGGATTCCGAAGCATCGGCCAATCTGAAATGGGAGACACGACACACTACTGCATGCCTTCTGTCCCTCATGCTGCGAGTACGTCGTCGTCCGTGGCTGTCAAGAAAAGTGGCAGCGGCAGCATGCACCAGACTTCGTAACTCGGGATGCTTGGCTGTCACACCATGACCCAAGTCTGAGGTTTGTGTTTCGCGGCTTTTGGATCTTGGCTGCTGAAATAGCGTCGGAGAGTGGAAAGTCATCTGAAGATACCTGAAGTGGGTGAAACCTGCCCAGCTTGCATGGCTCCTCCCATGCTGCGCGGTCCCGAGCGCTTCTTCTACGACACCACAACCTACACCGGTGCCCCAGGTCAGACGTAGACCATTCTTCATTCAAGCAACTCCGTCAGGGGCATATTGATTGCTTCCTTGTAGACTTGTCACATGCGGGCCGGAGGCCATAAGTCTTTCCTCAGCGACCCCAAGGGCCAAGCCAAGCGCGGCCAAGCATAGTGGCATAGGATGCATTGCGTCGGCAGCGCGTGAGGTACTCACCGGTTCGAGGGCCCGTCCGTCAAGGATTGGGACAGTGGCCACGTGTCCACAACATGGTAGCTGAAGCCCCAAACCACCCCAACCCCTCCCAAGTTCTGCTTTCTTGCTTGCAGAACGGATCTGAATTTGTGCATCCTACACAAGAGTCAAAGCCAGAGCCGGCCTACCGTCCAGAGCACAAAGGTGACACGTTCAACCGCTTTGTTCGCAAGCAGGCCAGGTTCGAGCCGTTAGGCGATCGGTGAGGATGGTTTAGAAGGCTTACCGATTACTGTACGGTTTTAGGGTGAGGAGAATCGAAGCGGCCAAAGCACTGGAATGACATCAAGCTGAATAAGGCATAGGCGTAGATCCATCATGCAGAGGGGCCGGTTTGGGAGGGAATGGCGGAAGGTTTCTCTATCATGCAGCACAGTCGACCCAGCTACCATCGTTTACCTTCGTGAAGCCGACTTGGGAGCTTCCTTCTCACGCAAGACAAACGAGATTGTGGGCTTCAGCAAACTCCAACTGTCGGGGAAACCTCAACAGTCGAATAGGGGCATGTGGGGGGGGGCATGCGAGTACCGGGCTTTAGCATGGTCCGTCGCTCTTCACAGGCGCGTGAAGTGCCGAAGCTCCCCTACCTGAAAAGCTTGCGCAAAGGACGTAAGGCCCGGCAGAGATTGAGCAAGTCTAGTGCCGCCGAGTCGGGCAGTGCTGCCACGCTCACCGGCATAAAGTGCGGTGCACTGGAATCTGGAGCCGCCGGCCTGAAACCGGTTGCGGAAGCGTCGCAGCACGTCCTCGTTGAGGTTCATGTTGCGCAGAACATCCAATCCGCTTCGACCAGCTCTACCAGCGGCCACCACCGCTTTGTCCCCTCCTGCGTTGTTTGCCTGAACCGCACGGTGAGCGTGGCCTTGACAGCCCGCTCGGCGTAGATGACAAGAACGGAGCAGGGTAAGGCACATGAAGGCACATGAAGGCACGCGTGAACCTCGTTTGAGGCGGTGAGAAATGCGAGGACAGCGATGCGCCGGAAGCACGCTATGTCATGGAGTGCGTGGCCAGGGCGGAGAGCCTCTTCTTGCCCGCCTCCACAAATCTGAGCCCGAAGGATGGTAGAAAGGCTGGCCAGTGAAACTTCTGGCCTGCCTTTTCTGACCGATGTCTTGCGATCATCCTGAAGCTCATTGCGTCGTACATGTGCACCCTAAGACACTGAAGCTTTCCCTATGCTTATCGATGTCCATGTGTTGGGCCAGGGTGATTTGTGAACTTTGCTTTCATTGCGGCACGCTTCCAACAAATGCTCTGCTATGCATGAAAACGTCGCAAGGCGGTTTTGGCAATTTGGTCGAGGGCTCGCTCTCGCGCTCACCCTGCCTCTCGCTCACACACACACACACATAATTCTGGCCGCTGGATGTTGCTCATGAGTCATTCGTCAGTGCCCCCGTCAGCGCGTCCTTTTGGGTCAAGCGGCGCATAGCGGCGAGGGAGGGTGGGTGCCATGGTGCACTGAGCCGGGGCCTCAGGAAGCCGAGCACCGCGGCCCCGGGCCTGTATCGGGCTTCGCCTGCGTTCTCTCCGATGCATCTGCGGGATTTTAAGTTTATGCTGAGGATGTTGCGTTTTTGTGAGATGTTGGGAGCCGTGCCAGGTCATTGTAGACTCCTTGGAGGCGCCTGGCGCCTGTCCTTGTAACGTTGAAACTGATCTGCGATATTCCTCTTGTTCTCGTACTTTCGAGTCCGGCTCAGCATTCCTGTACGAAGTGCTCAACGACTTGCGGAAAGCAGCACTTTGCTTAGGAATCAAGCATGCGAGCTGCACCCAGGCTTGTTCTCCAAAGGTTTTGCTATAAGCAAGCTGTCGAGCACATCCAACGCCTGATCTTTGTGATGCAGGGGACACTGCATGAATCCTGTCGCTGGAATGTTGAAGGTTGCTTGGACTGCCGTTGCAGGTGCCGTCACGGTGTGCAACGGAGCCAGGGGAGGATGCGCTGTCCTTTGGCAGGTCTTTTCTAGGGCAGCTCTTGGCATCCGAAAGTAGATAGGGTAGGGTAGGTAGGTAGGTAGGTTCGTCGAATTTCAGATGTGGGCGAGAGTTCTGAAAAGGTTGTGACGCTGCTGCGCAGGAGTTGTGAATCTCGTAAACTGATCACGCAGCCTAGCGCTTGTGTTGCGACGCGGATTCAGCATTGAAGTGACGGGGCTCAGCAGGCATTCAGCGTATGTGAGACATCGACGATGTGGAAGCAAAAGCGGAAGTTGGAGCAAACCTGGTCGTGGCCATTGGGGCTCCTCCGGACCGCAAGCACAAGGAGCCATTACGATTGATGCGGACTTTCCGCAACAATGGTTCAGTACATCTTTAACCGTCCACAGAACCCAGCTCGGTCTGGAGGATTTCGGAGGATGCATAGACTTGGGCCCCACCGGCGGGGATGTGTAGCTATGATTATGAGCAACTCATGACGTCTAGATTAGCGTGCGAGTCCTCTGGATCCCCCGAAGAAGAACACGGACGAAGGGCAAGTGGTTGTGGAGGGCTCTTCTGCAATCAGAGGTGCCTTCGGGGAATATTTGACCTGGAGAGGTGGGCCTGTGTTCGGACATGTTTGGGTTTGCATGCCCTGCTCGACACTGCAGCGTAGTCAAGGCAGTTGAGAAACGACGACGCCCGAAGTAGCATTGCAAGCCATAAGACGCAGTTGACTCAGCTCCTCCGGAGTCGGAAATCATCCGGCGTGCCGCGAGGCTTTGCACACTTGGCTTCTGTGCCCCGAATTCTGGATGGTCTGGCCGAAGCAAAAGAGGAATTTTTGCTGGAATTCGTGATCTTGAAGCCATGAACCTGTCCCATTGGTATTGTGCAGTTTGCTGCTCACTTCGGCAATGCGTAGTAGCACTTCGAGAAGACATGCATGGTCCAGTCGCTGGTGATCCCAGAGCCGGGCCCAGTGACGGTCCTGAATTCACGGACTATGCTGTCCTGAAAGAAGGTTTACATGGTCCGAGGCTATCGCAACACGCAGTGGCGGAAAATTGACCTGAAGAGGCTGGATTTCTCAAAGGGCACCACATGGCCGCTTGAAGATGCGTCGCTGGGCATCGTGGACATCACGGATTCAGGTGACAGTGCTTCGAAAGCAAAGGGGGAGCTGTAAGCAGCGAAGAATGGCCCGCGGAATAGCTGTGCGACGGCGAAGTCGCGTGTCACCTCGATTGCCTCTACTAGTGCAGAGAGCGTCCGACGCTTCTGCTTCTGCTTATGCAGGATTTTCGTCTTCGCATCGGATCGTCTATTGCGAAAGACCCGTAGGCCTGGACGCCCTTTTTTCTCGTTTCTCCGCCGTGCCCGAAGAAATGTACACGGAGCTTGTCTTCGCACATGCGTTCCTCGTGCCTGCATAGCAAGGTGTCGTTCAGCGTCATCGTGCCCTCTGATGGTTCAGTGGCTCAGATTCGGCACGGCCTTTCATGAGGTTGCCCTTCTGACCTCCGGAGGCATCCCTCTGTTCTATCTGCCGACGCCTGAAAATCTGTGAGCTGTCCCCGTGCCAGGCTGTATGGCCGCAGCAGGGAGCTGAGCAGAACAAGATCTCCAGTTTCTTGCGTTCTTCAGTGGGATCTGCTGCGAGGCCGTTGCGAGCTACCCTGGACCACCGCGCCAGGAGCTGTCACACTGACAGCAGATGCTAGACGAAAGCTCGAAGCTCGACTGCTCGCAGAGCTCGGAGCCAGGAGGCGCTGCTTGGTACGCCCCCGTCTTCCCACAGGCCAGGCTCCTCAGAAGTGCCGACAAAGGCGATGCGTCTCTCTCTCTCTCTCTCTCTCTCTCTCTCTCTCTCTCTCTCTCTCTCGGTCGGTGCTGAGGCAGACCCAGCCGCTCCCAGGCGCGGCCGGTAGACCAGAAGCGAAGCGGAGGGTTCACGATGTCTTGCAGGCTCCCACGGCCATGGCCACAGCCCAGGACTCCTCCTCCCTGAGCCTCTCCCTAGCTGGGCAGCTGCTTTGCATCATGGGGGCCGTTTCGGAGGACATCCCCTCTTTCAGAGGGGCCGGCGAGTGGCCCCTTCCTGAGGAGTTACGTTTTGTGAGGAGTGGCATTGAAACGTTGGCGAGGCGACACCGGTGAGCGCCCTGGCCCGGCTCTGGGGCGACGAGCCACGCAGGGAGGAGCCGTCCCGTGCCTTGCCTCTCCTTGACAAGCGCTGTACTGTAGCCCCTGTGACGGCAAGGAGCCGCAGCCGCAGCAGCTGCAGCCTCTCATCTCTGCCTCTGCGGCGGTGCCCAGCGGCCCAAACCTGGCAGCTCGAGCCCGAGCGGCGACACAGGCGGGGAGAAGAGGAGAGGCGGAGCGCCACGGCGCCACGGCGCCTCCGTGAAGCTTCGCTCCAAAGGCATCGTGGAATCGTCGTTCGCTGTCTCCTCAGAGGTGGGCGGTGGGCGGTAGAGGTCACGTCAGGGCACGAAAGTTTGAGCAGGCCAACCGTTCCGCAGCCGCAGCCGGTCTTCATAAGGACGGGCAAGCTACGGAGATGTAATTCTCAACAGAGTTTTCGAAACAAGAGGAACGAGTGAAGGGACTCAGTCAGACAACTCGCGTTTCAGATCCAGGAGGGTGTTTCCGGGTTTAACGGCAGACCTCTCGTCGATTTCCGTCGTGTCGGCGGTGTTGCACTTGCATCAATCGATTTTCGTTTGCTAGCGGCAAGCGAGCAGGGACCTCATGCTCGACGCGCCCTCACAATGCAGAAGCAACGAAGGACTCTGCAAATACAAGTACGTTGCCCCCCGGTCCTCTCTCTACTTCCATATTCGTGAACGACAACCTCTCCTGTCCTGTGCGAAGCTTCAGCCAGCCTTTGCACCGAGCTTCCGATTCCAGAGTCCCTTGCCAGGGCGCAGGACACCGCCCCGGCCACGGACACTCCGCGGACCCGGTTTCAGGCTCGGTGCCTCCGAAACTGCCAGAGCTTTCTGGAAGCCCTTCGCGCACGGAGGAGTCGCCGTCCCCGCGCGAGTCGCGGCGGCATCGGAGCATCAGGCCAAAAACCGGCCTGGGCTGCTGGCTGCTGCAGCCACGTCCCCACGTTTCGTGTCATCTGCAGGCCTTCCATGACTCCCTCGAGGATGGGATTCCCGGATCCCACGAGCCGCGGCCCCAAGAAGGATTTGCATCTCGGACAGAAAATTCTGCAGCTTTGCCCTCAGAGGTCCTCCGGCGGACTACCGTGCGGCCCGGGGTCCCGGAACCGATTCTTAAGAGCTTGAGCGAAACAGCGGGGATTGCTGCAGAGGTTCGGCAGACCTCCATGTCTCCACCTCGAGCTGCCTCCCGGCAGACTGTCGTCCCTCCTCCCAAGGAGGACGAGGCGCGAAGCTCCAGAGAACAGGTGAAGCTACTGAGCTACTTGTACTGGTTTTGGAGGACCTTATCCACCAGCATGTCTTGTACATCCTCAAGAAGAATCCGGACGTGTCCAAGCTCGTTCCCAAGCTGGCCTTTTGCCGTGCTGCCACATGGCATGTTTATGGAGTGCAGGTCACGCAAGGTGCAGCAGGTCACGCCAGGGGTGTACCTCCTGGACGGCCACGAGGTCCGTGGCCGCAGTTGACGCAACGACCCCATGATGAGCGGGAGCTCGGATCAGGTGAACATCGAGTGGAGGCACTCCCGGGAGCCTGGAAAGTCCCGGGCCCAAGCCGGGCTGTGCAGCTGCAAAGAGCCCACAATGCTACTAGTAGCTGTGCTGTGTCGAAGGCGAGGCTGTCCTGTGGTGGTGGACGGCCCCATGTGGGGGGCTCTTACACCTACAAAGGGAAAACAAGGGGGGACGTTGGACGTTTTGGCTGCGTCCCACCAGTGAGGCGCCAGCCGCTCATCGATTACCTGAGATTCAGTGAGGCAGAGGGCATCCGGGAAGCTAAGACGGGAGACCTTTCGGAAGACTTCCGGGAGCCTTGGTCTCTTTCAAGGAGAACAAGGAATACGACACGGAGACGGTGGCTTGCACCACGTCCTTGCATCAGGACCGGAAAGCCTGTCGTGTGCTTTGCCTGCTGCAAGTCCACGGGCAGGTTCCGAAAGACAAGCGGATGACCTTTGACGACAGGCACAAGCAGTGCGCGGAAGGGGTGTCAGAGAGTGGCCCAGATCGCCGAGAGTATTATCCGCAACGGGAACACGCCGACCGCAACAGAAACTTGTAACAAGAAGAGATAAGAAGAGGCCCCCTTATCAACGCCAACCCGGGGCAGCCCCTTGTCAAGGAACCTGGCCCTTTGCCTTCAAAAGTGTTAGGGCAAGTTAGGGCTTAGAGTTGCAGGGTTTAGGGTTTGGGGTTTGGGAGGTTTGGGGTTTATCGGGATCACAAGGTCCAGGGGTTCAGGGGACCTTGGTGACAAACACATGCGCACACACGACCGTGTCTGCAATCAGTTCAATCTTTCATGCATCAGCTTTGAGCCTATGCAACGACAACAAATGCAAACGCTGCTACGACTGTCAGCGTGCCTGCCGGTCTGACAGCTTGCGCCTGCAGGTGAGAAAAGTATCCATGTATCAGCACACGCATGTGTGTGTGTGTGTGTGTGTGTGTGTGCGTGCCCCCTGTTTCTAAGGCTTCAGTGTTTTTTATCTACAAATGTCTGCAGTTGTATTTTCGTAACAGCAGGGCGCCGCAGGCTTACCCCATCGGAGCTTCGGCCAACGAAGGCCTCCGATGGTGGGTGTGAAAATGTACCTGCGACTTTGATTCCGACAAGAGCTGAGCAGTTGGAAGAATAGTTGCACCTGTAGTGTATAAATTCTGAAGGCATTCGGAATACAAAGCTCAGCTTGTTATACCCAGAAGAGGAGCTTGTTTGAATGTACCCAAAGAGATCGATGACGACCAACCAGCTATGACTGGGTATGGGTGGGTGTGTGTGTGTGTGTCTACTGGTCCACTTAGTTCAGGCCTCCTGTGGGGTACGGGTTTCGGTCTCCAATTGTGCGCGTATAGAAGCCTTCTGCCCATTCCATGCTTGTTTCCGATGGCAGTTCCTGTTTCGGTGGTCGTTCTTGGTGGCCTGGTTGCTGTTGCCGTGGCCGCACGTTTCCGTCACAGTGCGCGAGATCGGTTTCCGCTACTTCCCAAAGAGGTTCCCGGTACTCCCCATGTGTTCCCCATCCCCATCCTTTCGAGGTACAGCCGGCTCGAAGCCATGAAGGTGGCGAAGGTGCGCGCCCGAGAGAGAAAAAGAGAGAGGCCTTGGCCCGCCTCCTGGCTTCCTGGCAGGAGCAGGCCTGCATCCGGGAGCAAGCTGCGGACTGCCTGCTGGACGGCAAGCAGGTTCCCAACACTAGGAAAACTCTTTTCCAACATGCAATAGGCAGCCTACACTGGGCCTACACTCCTTTTTTGGAGGATTCTTGCTGACCCGGTTCAGGTGCCTGACGACCTCGTCAGGCGCTACAACAAGGCAGCCCGAGCTTTCGTTTCTTTCAGGGGAAGGCAGGGGAGTGTGCGGGCCGGGCAGGCATTGCGGTCCAAGATTCGTCGGGCGCCCACGAGAGCAACGGGGACGAATGGGGGCGAGCTTTGCTTGCACTCCAGGCTCGCGAGAGAAGGACGGCTCAGGTCCAGAGACGCTCGGCAGCAAGCTCTGCAGCACTGCAAGCACCTGCTGCGCTGCGTCGGCTTCGAGAGTTGCCGCTACCCAGGCGACGGGAGACCCTGGTGCCGTCTCCAGCGGGCACACCAACGCCAGCAACACCGGCAACACCGGTAGCGCCAGCAGCGGCGCCAGCAGCGGCGCCAGCAGCGGCGCCAGCAGCGGCAGCAGCACCGAAAGTACCGGTAATGGCCCAAGTGGCAGCACCTTGCATGGGTTGTCTAGAACATGTCGGGGGTATGCGATAGGCCGTGAAGGCTGGCCCAAGGTGCCCAGAATAAACACAGCTCAAACAAGAACAACGTGGCTCCTGCCGGCATGTCCTGGTTATAGATCGATGAATTCGGGAGTGTCGCAGACACGCAGATAGCGCAAGCCCAAAGCATTCAACCTGAAGCGGAGCGTTCTGGTCCGGCGCGATGGCTCCGGACTTCCAAGACGATGACCTGCCAGCGCGAGGAAGGCCAGGTGTGATGGAAAGCTTTGACGGCATTCAGCCTAATGAGCTCGGCATGAAGGGATGCCTTCACCGCCATCTACGTTGTCAGTGCCTAAGCCTGCTGAGCATTGGGGCACCATGCAGAGACGTGCTCTTCCTTTCCAGGACGTGAGCATTCCGGCCTTGCATGAGCGATCCAGGAGATGTCGTCAGAACATGTTAGAACCTCCGAAGCTCCAAACCCTCACTGCCAGCCTTGCCTTCTCTGTGCTGTGTGATGGTCCCAGCAGGATCAGCTTGAAGATGCGTCCTTCCACGGCCACGCAAGTCTTCAACGCCCTGGCCAAGATGGAGGAGACCCTCTTCGAAGAGTTGGGCTCCGAAGTGGCCTCGGTCGAAAGCTTGAGCCTCAGAAAGTGCTTGTGCTTGTGGTGCTCTGGTGCTCGCGCTTCCATGCAAGTCCGCACTTCCGGCTTCTCCTGTGCAGGTGCCGATTTCAAGCGGGAGTTCTGCACGATGCGCGAGAGGTCTGTGGCGAGTTTGGGCGAGTGGCAGAGCTTCGTCGAGGACTGGAAGACGAGTCTTTTGACGAGGCCAGAGGGCAATTAGCGGAGCCAAGAGCCCCTCTTCCTCTGCTTCCGAGGCTTCAGGACGTCGGCCTGGAGCTCGACGCGGCGCGACGGCAGGAGGCGACCTTGAAGCACCGGCTCCAGGAGAAGGACTCCCAGGGACGTGCAGAGCTTCGCTGCCCTTGAGTCGAAGCCCCTTTTTTTGCCCAGGAGGCGCAGGTGACCACACTTCTCAGAGAGAAGCGCGTGCTGAAGCGCCAGCTCAAGACGGACTGCGCCAGGACCATGGAGCATCCTTCTCTGTAGCTGGTCTTGGGAGGGCGCTCTCCATCCAAGTGTCTTGGGCCATGGGCCGTTGGCCATGATTGCTGGGTCTTGTAGGGGACATGGCAGAAAGAGCAGGGGAAATCTAACAATCCCAACATGAAGACCTTCATCTAGATGATCTACTTGCATCTCCAATCAATAGCGGCGTTTACAGTGATTGACGTTGGCAGCTTTGCACGTCCTACATGACAATTCTCCGGATTCCGGTTGGGCGCTCTTCCATATACTATTTCAGCTGAAGATGAGATGGCATGAGATCGCCTTTCCGAGCTGCTTAGGCTGTGCAGCACTGTTGCATCGATGGGGTTTATCGTAAGTTGAGGGCTTAGGGTTGTTTCGGGTCAAAGAGTCTAAGTCCTGAACCCAATGGGCTCTCGAGGCTTCGAGGTCTCAGGACGAGCTATTTTGACCCGGCCCCTGGCGGCCCTAGCGGTTTAACAGGGCCCCTCCCCCTCGACCCGGTCAGGCCATGTCATATACTATTTTACTATAGAGCGTCGTCAGCTGTACAGCGGCAGCACGCACGCGCGTACGATGAGCAGTGTGAGACAGACGCTTACGCCTCACGCCTCGGGCATCCTCGACGAGCCTTCCGCCTTGCACCTGAATCTCTGAGTTCATATATGAGTTCATGGGAGGAGGAAGTACTTGTGCGAGCAAGCAATACAAGGTGCATCGGCCCCCCCAGAAGAGTGGCGCTTCGAGACTGAGCCTGTTGCAGGTCAGCGGGACCAGGTAGGCAAAGCGGGCTTCTTATCGAAGCTCACCAGGCGCGACTCCAAGGCCTGGGCCTGGCTGGGGGGGGTCTTAAGGCGCTTTCCTTCGCGGCTGCGCTTCGACTGCGAGGAGTCCATGACTTTGGAGGTTGCGGACGACCCCCTTCAGGAAGCCGTGGTGTCTGTGGTTCTGTATTTCTACAACTTTCTGCACAAGAGGGGAGCCAGCTTACGAGTGTGGCACAGGTTGCTTCAGGTCGGGAAGGCATGATCGGCTTCTTCACAGTTCGCCCCCTTCCCCCAGCTGTGCGGCACATTTGCGGCACAGGACCCCAAACGCAGTGGCAGCAAGCGCTTCTCCCTCACGGACACGGCCTCTCGGCTCCAGGGCAGTGATGCTTTGACATGGCTTTCCGATCTCCGATTGAGGTCAAGGCAGGCATAAGTTCCATCGCCATGCTGACGAGACAAAACTCCGTGGACGTGCAGCTGAGCCTGCAGAGAGCTGAAAGCCTTCTCCTTCGGCCTCAGGCAAGCGCCTTGTCAGGCAAGGCATCCTCCCAGGGCAGGCCACCGCCGCCACCGAGATCAGCGACGAGGAGGACGAGGAGGAGGAGCCCAGAGTCAGAATCGGAAGATATGGAGCCGGATCGAATGAAAACCACAGAGCCAAGTCGGCCCACGGAAGTAGCAGCTATAGCGGTGCAGGCCTCCGCCAGCTCCATTCCAAGACCAGGCGCTAGACCGCTAGACTATGAGTAGACCCCCCAAACCGGCTCCGAATCACTGTACACCCAACACCCCCAAACGCTAAACGCTGGGCCTTAGAAGTGGAATCCTGCAGCGAAATGGCTCAGGAGGACCTGTTCGAAGAGGCACCTGTGCCGAAAGAGCTTCGAGATTCTTCCGCCCAAGCCTGTGCCAAGGCCAGGGCTCGCAGTATGCGAAACGGCTCCTTTCCTTTCCGGTTGTTTCGTTTTTTGCAGTGACCTATCGCTATCGCGTCCTTCCGGTCTCTGAGAGTGCTCTCCCGGAGAGGACGTGGCGGTGGCGCACGTGGGGGTGCAGTGCACTCTCCGCGGCACGGCCCGCACGGTTTTGGGTGTTGAGGGATCTTTCAGGGTTTGGGTTTTATCGCTTCCAAGGCGAGACCTGCGACTTTTCATCGCTGATGACGGCCTCCCGTTCGCTGCGCGAAGAGCGCGAAGCGCGGAAGAGCGTGCAGAGCGTGCAGGCCCTACAAGGGGCCTGAGTCCGGTTCGGTAGAGTCCGGAGTTCTCCACCCGGTTTTAACGCGGCTATACTATAGGATTTTGCGTCAGATGTTCACATTGTTTCCGGTGTCAAGGTGGGGCCTCTTTTGGACAAGGTTAGCACTTCGCAGCCGTCCTTGTGGTACCCGAAATCCAGCAAGAGTCATCGCACGACACTGTTTGAAACTGTACAGCCGTGCAGCCTGCAAGCATGCACAAAAGTGCACTTGGAGGAGAACTCAGAGAGTCATACAGATTCTCGCGGTCCGTGCAAGTTACTTGCCTGGCATTCGCCACAGTCATTGCCATCGATACGGTCATGGCGCTTTTCCCCCGCGCCCATGGAAGAAAGAAGGGGGAAGGAAGAATGTGCAAGGACTGATCCTTCTGAGAAGCCCAGCACGGCCGAGGTGAGGATACCGGAGCTGCCCAGGCTACCGGAGAGGGCGCTTCCTCCCGTGGTCCAGGTGGGGATCATCGCGATCGCGGTGAATACATCACTTTGATTTCTCAAGGCGCTGCCTTGTTCCCATCCCTCGCGGCAGCCCGGGCCCCAAAGCCCCAAGGCTCCAAGGCTCCAAGGCGAGGGACCGAGGGAGGGAGGCGCTCTCTGACGCATGCGAGGCCCTCTCCGGCTGCGATGCGCATGGCTGCGCAGGCCATGGCTGGAAGCCTTCAGGCCAGAGAGAAAGAGACAGAGAGAGAGAGAGAGAGAGAGTCAGTCGGCGATTGATCCCTAACGCCCATTTATGTCTTAGGCCCTTACTTGCCACCTCTCCCCAGCCGATGTTTGCACACTGGATTTCATTTCTTGTTTGCGTCATGTTTGATCGATGGCATCGCTGGACGTCCACGCCTCCGAAAGTGCGTCCTCGCTGTTGGCACCCGCAGAGAGAGAGAGAGAGAGAGAGAGAGAGAGAGAGAGAGAGAGAGAGAGAGAGCGAGAGAGTGTGTGTAACCTCTACATCATAACCCTGGCGAAAGAAAGAGAGTGTGTGTGTGTGCAGTGCTCCAGTGAAGAATGCAGTCCATGTACCGTGTGTGTTGTGCCTTGGGGCAACGGAGCTGCACCAGTGCTTTGCGAAGTAGCACAGAGCCAAGCAGCGACCCCAACACGGGGGAAGAGAGGCCTTGCCGGGTTTTAAGGTACGGGGTTAGGGTGGTTACAGAGTGCCGAGCCGCTCCGCAGTTGGCAGAAAGTGTCACGCAGACCGTGGATCCGGTGCACCTTCGGGTGTGGAGGGAAAGCAAAGCGTCTCTCTTTCTCTCTACGTCTCTCTCTTTGGCCGTTACGTCGGGGCGAGAGAAGAGAGACGAGCAAGACGAGCAGCGCGCGCGCTCTTTCGCCTCTCGGCTCCCCGCCGCTTCTCAAGGCGCCTCCGAGAAGCGGCACGCCGCGGTCGCCCGGGAACCCGGAGCCGCCGGAGCCTGCATCGGCAGCCTCCATCTTCCTCCTCCTCCTCCCCAGCACCCTCCTCTTCTGGGCACTCTCAGGCCGATGGCGGCAGAAGTCCTGGCGTTGGAGCCCCACGCGCTTCCTTCAGACTGAGCCTCCCCCGTCCCCATATGAGGCCTTTCCCTGCAGTCGCCATGTCCCAGCGCGGGATTTCCCTGAATGGTTTTCGCCTCAGCTTCCAGCAGCGTTTCTTTGCCTCTTCTCTATAGTCGCTATGGCGCCGTGGTCTTGTGTCAGGCCTGCCACCCTTTGGCCCCGTCGCCACCGCCAGCGCCGCGAGCACCGCGACCGCAACTGCGGCCCCGGCGGTGCCCGTGACGGGCAGGGCCCTGACCCGGGTCGCACGCAGCTGGAGTGGTCCCGGGCCCTGGATGGAAGGGTCTGTCTCCTTTTCTTTGCTTGGACATGTCTCTGCTCCCTGAGGCTCCTCTGTCACTTCTCTGCCATACCGGGAGCCCAGCGTCTCGCGCATCCCTACCCGACCCACTGCGCAGGCAGAGACGACTGCTTTCCATTCCGAGTTGATGCCTGGGATGCCCGTCGCCAGGTGGTGACTGCTGCGCCCATCACGGTGGCCGCGTGCCAATCGTCCAGCCTGCCGTGGCATGGCTTGCAAAGCGGAAGTTCATGGATCTGGGATACACGTAGCTGCCCACTGCATGCTCGGGACGGTTCCTGGAAGTTCAGGGAAAGCTGCTTCAACGTCATGTGGAAAGACCCGCAGTGTTTCATGTGGGAGGAAGTTTGGAACCGCACCTACTTGTAGGCGGGGTAGGCTCGGGAATCAACCTAGGCGCCGAACCGCCAAACGGCACTTTTTTGCCCTGCTCACTTCCCTCCTTTGCGCTGCTTTGGAGGTCGGCCATGCCAACATAGGTGAGACGGCCACGCTCGTCACATGCCCTAGAGCCATAAATTAGCTTGCACAGGTCTCAGATCCTACTGTGTATGGGATCGGATCTAATTTGCTTGCTCAGACCTTCACGATCGGCTTCAGGATGCCGTTGTTTTTTTTCTGGGCAGCTGGTAAGGTCTGAGCAGCAGCACCGCAGAGCATGATCCTTGCAAAAAGGGAGATGTGAACGAGCACGCAACAGTAGAGCCCTTCGTCCAGTTGACTCTTGGAATATTTTTTGGAATCCTGCATTCTGGCTCGAGGACCATCTTCCCCAAAGAAGAGTTGCAGCCGTGCAGACCAAACAGCCAGAGAATTGGAGCATGGGAGCAGCTTTCCTAAACCAACACGCCGACAGAGCACAGGGCACAGCCCGTGTCAGGCGTAGCGGGGTCAGAAGTGAACGGTCCCACTGGCTGCAGCTCGAATGTAGTGGCTGTCCTTCTCGGCCGGATCGCGGCTGATCGCGACTGGCCTCGAGAAGACGCCGAAGCATCCCACGCCCATGGCGCAGAGCGACGAGACCGCGGAGTCCCCGCAGAAGAGGAGGCGCAGAGCATGGAGCCGGCTTCAGCAGCGGCTTGAGCCCGCTCCCTCCCCGCTCCTCGCAAGGCCGACCTTTGCTTCCGACTTGGAGGACCGATCGCCGGAGAAAGGCCCGGAGCCCGGAAGGCCCCTTCTCCCGACCTGTCCAGAGTGCAGGCAGCGAAGGCGACGAGGGAGAGACGGTGGAAGGCCGGGCCGGGCCCCGCCGGGCCCCGCCGGGCCCGGGCCAAGCCGCCCCACCCGAACTTTTTGGAGTTTTTCTTCTTTGGGGCCGCCCGGCGTGCAAGTCTTGCGCGCTGCCGGAGATCGCTGGAAAGAGGTCCTGATCGCATCTTCTCGCCTCGCTCGGGCACGGGACTCGGAGCTGTTAATTGAGCAATGCAGTGGCGAGATGTGACATACTGAGACATGGGGTACCTCACTTAGGGGCCCGCGGACAATAAGGATGCTGGTGTTTGGGGTTTTGCAGGTTTCGGGCTTAGGGTCTCTTGTCGGCTAGGGGGAGAGTGCTCAGGCACGCCCGCGCCGATGCGCTTCGACATCAGAAGGCCGTTTCTGAACGCCGCGGGAGGCCCCTTCAAACTGCTCTCAGTTTCCTTCTGCTGCCAAGGCTCACTGAGCAGTCTGAGGCCGCTTTCAGATTTTTGGCACAGCCCCTTTGCGCTTTGCCGCGAATCTGGGAGGCTTTCTCGACAGACGACGAGGGTGCGCGAGTCCGTCACTTCTTGACCGTGAAAGGACCGAATCATTCGTAGCAGCGAACGCTTCAAGCCCCGGATTTGGAGTCTAAAGGGTTTGTAGTGCTAAGGCGGCTTAGGTTTTTACTGCTTCAGGACCTCCCATCTTCATCGTGCCGGCATCTCAGACGACGAAGCGAGCTTGAGAGTTCGGCAGTGGAAAGTTGACTGGGCAGGGCAGTGATGCTGCCGGCTTTCATGAGGTGGGGCATGCGGGGTAGCGGGCTCCGCACTAAAGGTGGCACGATGGCACATCAAGTGACACCTTTAAGCGATTCTTGTGCAGCATTTCAGCATATTTCAGCGTGATGATGTGGCTGAGCCTATGTATGCAGACCTTACATGTACAGTCATGCTTGCACACGTATTCCAGACTACATGTACGCTTACTTCTGTAGATGTATAGCTATGTTTATCTAAAGCTTTGGAACTCCGTTGCAGGCCCAAGGTCCAGGTGGTGATTCTTGGTGCTTTGAAAGCGGCAGGACCTTTGACCTGGAGCCCCAGGCGCGCTGCGGATTCATCATGCTCGGGGCCGAAGCCTCAGACCTCAGCCGAAGAAGGGCGGCGTCCTGGTGGAGTCGCGAGGTCTTGACCCTAAGCCTCTTCGAGCTGATGCCCCTCTTCTGCGTCGCCCTCTTCATTCCGGTCCTGGGTTGGCCCCCAAGGAGGTTTGGGTGAGGCAGACCTTCTCCACCTGCGCCCTGCGGGCCCTTGCTTAGGGAGCATCTGCGCGGTCTTCGGCGAGGCGCCTGCATGCGCCTGCAGAGCAGCAGAGCACGTGGGCCGCAAGGCAAGGGAGGGGCCGGTCGCCAGGATCGCACGATGCTGACGACGTCGAGACTGCTGCACCCTGGACTGCAATTTGCAGGGTTGGTCGGCGGTCGGAAAGGGAAGCCCCTTTCTGCGAGACGAGGCTTGGCAGCTTCTTCAACCAGACGCGCGCGACTGAGGAGAATCAGACTTCGATTCTGTCATGTGCGTGAGTTCTGTGCTGCAGTCAAGGAATGATTGCCTTTCGTGTGAGGCTCCGCTAGCACATGAGAGCCCGAAATCTGAAGCCGTTACTATTCCATGCAACATGTAATTTTCTCGGTCCACCCTCAGGGTTCCGCACCGGCAGATCTACGATTCCATGCACTCTCTGGGAGATAAGGTCTTTCTTGGTGTTGGGCAGTTTGGTCATCAACGCCGTGCCATGGCCTCAGGCCCGCGTCGTGAAGCAGTCATACAGACATGTATGTGTATATAATGTACATTGTATGCGGTGGGCTCGTTCAATCCCTGATCCTGTGGGTTTCAATACAAGTCTGTGTTTATACTCAAGCCCAATTGGGAAGATAGACATCTGGAACAACTGCTTCGACTAAGCTATAGCAGATTACAACACAACGAGCATGATAGAGAGCGGTACAGGGTGGGACATGATACGTTTTTGATAGTACAGTACACTGCAATCTAGTGTGGTGTCGCATAATGGACTTGTATGACAGTGTACTATAGTGCGGTACGTCAAAGTGCGATACAGTATAGTACAGTGGTATAGTCTTAACATACACAATACAAGTACGCCATATCGAAGTAGATATTCATACATATGATGCAATGTAGCATGATAACCCAGCGTCGTCTAGCCTAGTATAAGAATCTAGTGTATACAGCATCAACAGGACATGATGTAGTACATGACTGTAGTAGTCTAAATCCAGGTGAGGCTTCATATTGTGTGTGTGTGTGTGTGTGTCTGTGTGTGTACGTGCGCATGTACGTACGCATGCATGGATGCCCGGATGCATGGATATGTGGATGTATGGACGCTTGGATTTATGGATGTATGACTATGTGTGTATTTGTCTATGCATGTGTGTAGACACGGGGTACTTCAACAGTCCACCTGAGGTTCGAGAAGTGCGGCCTCCTAGACGTGCTGACCTCTTCTTTGCTCCGGAGGGGGCCTGAGAGAGAAAAGAAAGATCCCGAACCCGCTGGAGCTTCGTGCAGCACATGGGGAATTCTGAAGCTTACTGTAAGCCCTACCTAGCTGACCTAGCTCCGAAATCCTCTACCCTAAACCCCCCGAGGCGTTGGCACATGGAGAGCAAGAGCTTCCTCCTGGTCAGAGGCCTCAGACGCGAAGTTTCTCCTACATATACTGTACTATACCATTCCATACGATATTAAAACCATACGATACTATGCTATGCTATACTATACCATACGATACTATACCATACGATACTATGCAGTACTATACTGTGGTATACTTTACATACTTTGTTTGTCTAGGTACTACATGAATGACGCTCCATCCGACTTTTCATGTAGGCTTCTTCCACCCTAACCTTGTAGAACTGGATCCTTGTTCAAAGCAGGAATCTTACTAAGGATGTCGTTTCTGACCCCCTTATCGTCCCAGGTCATCATGCTCTCCACCATGGCAGCCTGCTCCGTGTTGGTCTCGGGGTCCATTGCCAGGGCCCGTGGCGGCTTTCGTCAGAGCGAGAGCGGGAGAAGCTACACGTAGCTTCTGGTGATAAGAATTCCACGTTTAGGTGGTGCTGGCGGCCCTGAAACCGCTCCTGATGAAGAGGGGCCCCGGGCAGCTGCGGCCCGCTTGGCTTTCGGGTCCTTTTCGGTTCTTCTTGCTCGAGCGCCTGCTTTTTCCTCTCAGGGAGGTGCCCGTGATCAAGCGCCTGTTGCTGGGAGTCGCCTTTGCTGCCAACGCGGGTGGCGAGCTTGGAAAGGGATCGCAGACGATGTGCCTTCCGCGAGTTGCCAGAGTCAGAGTCTCAGAGGCTCCATTCTTCTGCCCATCTCCAGTCCTGTGACGCTCATCACAGCCGCCTGCTCAGCCGGTGCGATCGATTGGGACTTACCTGTTTTTTGCTGCAGCACCCTTGAAGGTGAGCCTGCTGCGCGACTTCGCATCTGCCCCAGCCACCAGTGCTTCGTAGCGGAAGTCTAAGAGAGGAGAAGAGAAGAGAGTCCGAGGACCACACGCTCTCCTTGTGGTCGCCAGCTCAAAAGCACTGCGCGGGGGGCAGCCAGGCAGCGCCTTCCACCGTCCTCGACAGGAGTTGGTTCTTCATCTCAGCTCCCGTCGTACCTCGGCAGAGAACTCTCAAGACGCCACCGCCATCTGTGTTCAGAGCACACACGCACACGCCTTGCCTGCGAGGCCGTGCCCGCCACCGTTGTGCCAGGAGCCAAAAACTAGGAGCCGTGTGGCGCTCTAGCCGCGCTCGAAGCCCCGCTTCCTCCACCAGAGGTCCTGGTGGGTCCTCTGCTACCTCTACCCCGCTGAGCACGACGAAGAAGAAGCGGTGATCAAGACGGTGGAGGAGGGCCTGGAGGAGATCCAAGATTTCAAAACGTCTTGCCTTAAACTCTGCGAGAGGCCTTACAAGAACTCCTAGCAATCTGCAAGGAGGTCCCTGAGCCGACCCTCTCCCGGCAAGTGAGCCTGAGCCACGCCTCCGAGGCCATAGTTTGGGGTTGTGGGCCTTGGAGTTCAGGGGTTCAGAGTGTTGAAGGGGGTTTGGCTACCGGTCTGCAAGGTGCAGATGACCCAGGGCCACTGGCAGGCGGCTGAGTACAGCACTCTCCCTGTTTTCAACTCTGCTCTGCGGTTCACCAGATTGAGGCCCTGTCTACACGGACCGAGGTTCATGCTCGTATCCTCCTGCCTGGCGGTTCTGGGGATGACGATCTTCGCCGAGGCGCGAAGCGCGCGAAGCGCGCGACTCGCGCCGCGGCGGGGGGCGCTCGCGCTCCGGGCGAGCGTTGAAGGCGCTCAGCCTTTGGCCAGGCCTTGGAGCCCGTCTTGGGCGCCTCGCCTCAGAGTTCCTGTGACGACGCAAGTGCGCGCGGCAAGTGGGCTTAGGCTTCCTCTCTGTGTGTTTCTCTGCGTGATACTTTTGAAGCACAAGCGGCGCTAAGAGCTTGTACGGCTACTTGCCAGTGAGCCCAGAGGGGGGATGCCGTCTGCCGCGTCTGCGCTTTTTCGAGGCCATCCGGCAATCCTCGCCCTGGCCGTGGTGGTCTGGGGCTTGGAGGCTCTCGAGACGAGGGAGAGAACTGGTAAGGCAAAGCTGCGGCCCTTGTTCTGCTGGACTTGAAACACACCAGTCAAACAGCCTCCCTGAGCCGGATTCCGCTCGCAACTTCTCTCGCCTGTCTGCAAGAACACCATGGACAAGAGCCAAAAGAGGTACATTTCTGTGGCCTGCGGAGGAAATCCGCGGTTGCCCGACCGCGTGAACAGTGGTCACCAGACCTTTGTTTTTGCATCAAGTTTCGCTTATCTTCCAGCAGTCCATAGCACACGCTGATGTGTCTTTGCTTGAATGTGCGAGAGAGAGAGAAGGAGGGGACGCCCATTTTCGCATGTTTCCTTCCATGCCCGCAAAGCATTTGTTGTGTTGATCAGCATGGTGTTGCGTGGAGTTGCAAGGATATCCTTGTGCGTGCAGTCTGGCTCAAGCACCGAGCTGCAACAACAGTCGCATCCTGCGTTGGCGACAGGAGCCATGCTAGCAGTGGTGACGCTGAGTTTATTCGGACTGCTGCCCGTTTCGTGGGCATGCAGCTATGTGGAGATTCCATATCCTGACAGCGGGAAGACATCCTATCTTATCCCACGAACCATGGAGCTTTGGGACTTGTACAACAGAACGAAGTACAGCATCGAAGCGTTCCCAAGAGGAGGTGGGAACAAATACGGCTGGGTTGCGCCAATGAACATCTTCCATTTCCCGCCATCGTACCAGCCCTTGCAATTCCCTTTCGAGGGCATGAACGAGGCAGGCTTGACAGTCTCGGCACTCTATTTGGCACAGTCGGTCTATGAGGAGCCGCAACCAGGAAAGCATGCGATTAGCGCCCTGGAGTTCGTCCCAGCAGTCCTGGCAAACTACTCCTCCGTCGATGAGGTCTTGACAATGCTTGAAGCAGTGAGCGTCCTGACTCCTTTCGTGCCGGGTGTTCCGGAGGAGGTGCTGAAGACCACCACCTTGCACTGGGCGATCCATGACGAATCTGGCCGTTCAGTCATAGTGGAGTACATCCAGGGCAAGCGGATGGTACATGAGAACGGCCCAAGAGTCATGACCAACGATCCAGACATCCAATGGCACTGGAGGAACTTGAACACGCGCGTGCACTTGAGCCCTAGCTATCCGTATCAGAACGACATGCTACAGGTCAAGACAAACGACGCGGTGGGAACCGTCCCGCGTCCGATTGGCCACGGCTGGAACCTGTTCGGTCTGCCCGGAGACACGACGTCGCCCAGCCGCTTCATCCGCCTCTTCTACCTGCGGGGATACTCCATGGAAGCAAGCCCCATCAAGAACTTCGAGGATGCTGTGGTGTTAGGAACTTCGCTTCTCAACAACGTCTTTATCCCCTATGGTCCTGTCGCAGCAGATCCCAGAGCTGGGCCCAGCGACGGCCCCGAATTCACGGACTATGCTGTCCTGAAAGCTCCGAAGGAGAAGGTTTACATGGTCCGAGGCTATCGCAACACGCAGTGGCGGAAAATTGACCTCAAGAGGCTGGACTTCTCCAAAAGCACCACGTGGCCGCTCGAAGACGGGTCGCTGGGCATCGTGGACATCACCGATGCAGGTGACAGTGCTTCGAAAGCAAAGGGGGAGCTGTAAGCAGCGAAGAAAGGACAGTGGAATAGCTGTGCGACACCGAAGTCGAGTGTCACCTTGATTGCCTCTACTGATACAGTGGAGCATCCGACACTGCCTATGCAGAATTTTCGCCACGTGTCTTCGCATCGGATCGATCGTCTGTCGCGAAGGACTAGAAGGCTTGAACGCTCCGTTATCATTTCTCCGCAGCGTGTGAAGAAAAACTCGCGGACCTTGTCTTCGCGCATGCATTCCTCATGCCTGCATAGCAAGAGGTCGTTCCAACGTGTAATTTCGTGCGGTGGTTGTTGTGTGCGCCCTCTGGCTCAAGCACCGAGCTGCAACAACAGTCGCATCCTGCGTTGGCGACAGGAGCCATGCTAGCAGTGGTGACGCTGAGTTTATTCGGACTGCTGCCCGTTTCGTGGGCATGCAGCTATGTGGAGATTCCATATCCTGACAGCGGGAAGACATCCTATCTTATCCCACGAACCATGGAGCTTTGGGACTTGTACAACAGAACGAAGTACAGCATCGAAGCGTTCCCAAGAGGAGGTGGGAACAAATACGGCTGGGTTGCGCCAATGAACATCTTCCATTTCCCGCCATCGTACCAGCCCTTGCAATTCCCTTTCGAGGGCATGAACGAGGCAGGCTTGACAGTCTCGGCACTCTATTTGGCACAGTCGGTCTATGAGGAGCCGCAACCAGGAAAGCATGCGATTAGCGCCCTGGAGTTCGTCCCAGCAGTCCTGGCAAACTACTCCTCCGTCGATGAGGTCTTGACAATGCTTGAAGCAGTGAGCGTCCTGACTCCTTTCGTGCCGGGTGTTCCGGAGGAGGTGCTGAAGACCACCACCTTGCACTGGGCGATCCATGACGAATCTGGCCGTTCAGTCATAGTGGAGTACATCCAGGGCAAGCGGATGGTACATGAGAACGGCCCAAGAGTCATGACCAACGATCCAGACATCCAATGGCACTGGAGGAACTTGAACACGCGCGTGCACTTGAGCCCTAGCTATCCGTATCAGAACGACATGCTACAGGTCAAGACAAACGACGCGGTGGGAACCGTCCCGCGTCCGATTGGCCACGGCTGGAACCTGTTCGGTCTGCCCGGAGACACAACGTCGCCGAGCCGCTTCATCCGCCTCTTCTACCTGCGGGGATACTCCATGGAAGCAAGCCCCATCAAGAACTTCGAGGATGCTGTGGTGTTAGGAACTTCGCTTCTCAACAACGTCTTTATCCCCTATGGTCCTGTCGCAGCAGATCCCAGAGCTGGGCCCAGCGACGGCCCCGAATTCACGGACTATGCTGTCCTGAAAGCTCCGAAGGAGAAGGTTTACATGGTCCGAGGCTATCGCAACACGCAGTGGCGGAAAATTGACCTCAAGAGGCTGGACTTCTCCAAAAGCACCACGTGGCCGCTCGAAGACGGGTCGCTGGGCATCGTGGACATCACCGATGCAGGCGACAGCGGCTCTCCCAAGGAGCTGTGAGCAGAGTAGGGGCGGACATCAGTTGTCCTTTCTGAACTCTTTTGAAGAAAGCTGCACATCATTGCAGCGAGGTCGTTGGCGGCCTCGCACCCCCTTGCCTTGGCCTAGATTTAGTCCCGGTTGTACAGGACTCTGCTTCTTCTGTACAGTTGCCAACTCGGCCGGCTAGGCTCAGCACACATTTGGGACATTATGGTCAGAGGCAGAGCAGCACCCATGCTCCTCCGATATGTGGGACACAGAAAAAGGGTTGTCAAGCGTCTTGTGATGAGAAGTGCTTAAAGACTGTATGCCATATGCCATGACGATCTACAGTCTGCTTGCCTTTCCGTGGCGCTCTCTGATTCTCAGGTTCTGGCTTTCGGGAGCGGCTTTCTTTCCCGCGGGGGAGCCCAGAGGGATGGAAGCCAAACGCGTGCCTAGCACGGCGTCTGTCGAGGTGACGAGTTCCTATGCCTGGAATGGGATCTTTTGGCCATTGTGGGAGGCAGGATACATCTCCACTCTCCACCCCCTAGGCTTCACACCAATCTCGGATGCCTGCGCCAGGCACCAACGTGATGGCCCTCATGGTGCGGGAAACGGCGCTCGCAGCCAAAGGCTCCGCCATCATGACGGAGGCGTGAGGACTTGGCTTGGACGGCTTCTGAGCAATGAGCGCGACCGTCTCTGCGCCTTTTTCCAAACAGATGGGTCTCATTGGCGGCCTGTCGCCAGGCACTCAGGCGGCTCCACTGTGAGAAGACAAGGAACCGAGCCTGTCCCAAGGTTCTGGCCCTTTACGGCGCTGGTGATCTCGACGCTGATCATCTTCGGTGCCTTCGGACTGCATGTGTCCGCAGAAGTATAGGGAATACGGATAGAAAGTGCAGAAAGGTACTTTCTGCGGCCATCAGCTTGCTGGAGTCATTGCGCTGCCTCTGCTGGTGGCTAGACTTATGGACTTCTTGCGTGCGTTGCATTCGCCACGTCGGTTTCCCGCAAATTCCGTTCTGTTGTCTGGCACAGTCTAAGTCGAGTCTAGGGAGTCCAGGGTTCTTCCAGCATCAGGTGGCGCTGGGCGTGAAGCTGAAGGCCGAGTCTCAGAGGAGAAGAGGATCTGCGCCGATTTCCGCTCAGCATCTGTGCAAGGCCGCAGAGCTCTTTGCAATGCTCGGGGCCCAAATTAGGGATCATTGGGAGCGCTTGTCGAGCAGTTCAGGGGCCTTTCATGAAGGCTGTGTGCTCTTTCGATCCCGCTTGGGATGGGAATGCCCAGTGCGGGCCCTGCGGTGGTGGTTGGCCGAATGAGGGACGGTGTGGAGAGAGCAGGCTGCTCCTTCGACAACATGGCGGCCCAAAGCCTGTCGCGCAGCTTGAAACGAAAAGGGTGGGAGCCTCAACCCCCTGCGCCGCTGCTTTCAAGAGCTGAGCTTTCGCGCCGGGCAGGTCTGAGCTCTTCGTGCGCGACTACCTTCTGCAGGGGCCTGAGAGGACTTCAAGTTGCTCTGAGCATCGCATCGTCTGCCACATTGGGGCCAGGAGTGGCAGTGCCACGGCTGTGTGCGGTGCGATGCTGACACTGACACTGGGCTTTGGTGTGCGAGACTCAGCCCTAAGCCGGCCTCCTTGTAACTCTCTTTGCCACGTGTTCTATGAGATCGGCTGCTTGCAGCACGGCTTTCCGAAGCCCCCGAGTGAGGTGGAGGGACGTCTGCGACGTATAGCCGACATAGGAGCAGCGGGAAACCTGTTAGATGATCGAAGGTGCGCCGCGAGCGCACGCCGGAGGAGCTGGAGCCGCAGGCTCGGCGACGGCGAGAGCGTGGCGCCGTGCGCGCATGCGTGCGAACGCACGCACGGAACGGGAAGCGCCAAGGGGAAGAGGTTGCCAGAGGTTTCACTCGACTCTTCGCGTGGCGACAGGTGGTGAAGGAGAACCGTGTCCTGGACCTGAAGGATCGGAGCCTCGAAACTCTGCGGGAGACGTGGGTGCTGCACATACAGCCTGCAGGCGACCGCAAAGCTCGAGCGCAAGGCCAGAGACAGAAGACAGCACGCGCTGCCGCGCTGCGTTTGCTTGAAGCTGGGTCGGGGCGTCTCGGCGCCGGAATCGTGTCGTCCCGTCATGGGTGGCTCAAGGTGTTCGCGTCATTCCCTTGCGAGTCTTCATGTTCTGAGGGTTGCGCTTGGCCAGGACTTGGCCGTCTAGTAGGCCGTAGCTGCCATCAGCCACCCTAGAGTCCCTAGAGTCAGCCACAGTCAGCTCATGTCTAGTCACCTTGTCCTTACAAGCGAAGCGCAATCCTGGCGGGTTCACCGGACCATGATGCCTTTGCCTCTGCTTGCATTGCTGACGGTGCCCCGTCTCTGCCTGGCCACTCGGCCTCTTGAAGACCTGAACGCCATCAGCTCGCTGGATGTCTCGGGGAACAGCTCCCTGCAGACCCTCTCCGCGCTGCGGAGCGTGGAGGCCACGAATGCCAGCCGCGGAAACGAGAGCATCCGTAGGAGCGGGAGCAACCACAGCCACGGCCAGCACGGCGGGGGCTCCGCCTGGGCATCGGCGTCGTCGCTGGCCCAGGCAGAGTACGAGCTGGGCAGGGAGCGCCGGGGCGCCTCGGCTCGCAGCTTCTCGCACCGCACCATCGCAGCGCCGCAGTGCCGCATCTCGGGGCGCCACAGTGTCTCTCACTCTTTAAAACAGCTGAGGCCAAAGCAAGGTGATGCTGATCTTCGTGGTCTTCCTGGGTCTGGGCTTCTGTGGCTTGGACCACTGCCTGGTGGGGAATTTCATTCTGGGAACCTTGAAGCTTCTCACCGTGGGCGGCTTCGGCTTTTGGTTCCTGCTGGACTGGATGCTCATCGTCTTTAACTGCGTGAACCAGTACAGCACTCTCAGCGGCTTCGGCTGGGACGTGGTCTTCACCCCCTGCAACCTGTCTGCAAAATACGCCACCCCCCCTGCCCGAACAGTGTACGTAAGACGTAAGGTCTCACCCTGAAGAGCCCTTCCTTTCAGAAAGCCCGGCGAAGCAAGACGGAGGCAGCATCGAGGACGCTTGCCGGATCGGCCAGGTTACCTGCCTCCTCCACGCGCCCTTCGTCTTCGCGCTCTTGAAAGCCAAGGTCCAGGGACGGTCTGTGCAGTCCTCCGTCCAGCAGCCTGCGCAGAGCACGGTGGCCTTCCTTAGGCAGAAGGGCATTGTCTCAGAGCTTCGTCAAAGCAAAAGCTTTAAAGCTGAAGGGTGAGGGGAGGTGAGTCGGAGGTGAGGGCTGAGGGTCTGTCCGGTGGGAATCAAGGGAGGAAGAGACTCTGAGAAGGGCTTTGGCAATCGCAAGGAGTCCCCAGCTTCTTGGGAGATCGACCACGTCTTCGAGGCCTCAGACAAGAACCGCGACGGCTTCGTGACGGCCCAGGAGCTCAAGGAAGGTCTCGCCAGCCTCGGCTGTGAGATCAGCGACCAGCAGCTGGCGGAGCTTATGCGAGGCCAGCAAACCCTACGCCGCGCCGAGCACCCTTGCAGCATGCAGCAGCCGGCCCAAAAGTATCAAATCACGTCATCTCTTTTCTCTGGCTCTAAGGCTGGCGCAGCTCCTAGCAGAGAAGCCGGGCCTCGTTGCCAGGAGGCCGTCGAAGCATGTTGCCTCCTCCTCCGACGAAGGCCAGCGTCTCAAAGTAGATCCTGCTTTGCGACTTGACATGCAGAGCCTTGCGAGGCGCCTCCACTGCACCACAGGACCGTCGTTTCAAGAAGCCCTGCGAAGCGACGGACATGGTGAGTTAGCGCTCGTCATGTGTTGTGCACGCCCAGCAGGCTGATTCGAGACAGCACACCTCTACCCATCCTCCGTAAAACTCATCGTCAGCACTCATTCCGCGTCTTGGTAAACCGAAGCTTCAATTCACGATACCAATATCCTCGATCTCACAACCGAAGCTTTGAACCACGACAGGACGACACAGCGAAAGCTGACGGCTGATCCTGACCGGGCGGCAGCAAAACTAACAAGTGCCGGCCGATTTTGTCTCATCTATTACATGGGGTTTCTTCGTCGTTCAGGATTCCCTGTGTCTGTTAAGAATACTGATTTTGAGAATTACGCTAGGGCTAGGGATTGACAGGAAGCTGTCAGTAGCCTCGATCGTTCCCATGAGGCAACCGAAGACACTTGCAGTGGCCTTTTGGGGAAGCGTGCCTCGGCAGGCGAAGCCTGCGATTCTCTCTTTGCGTGGCCTTCGCCAATTCGGGCAAGGCAGGAAGAGGCGCGTGGCGACAGGTTGACATATATCAGGGTTGACATTTTGACAGTTGTGAGAACCCCCTTTTGTCCTCGCAATAAGGATCCCTCGACCTTTTCCCGCATGATTCAGATCTCGCAGCCGACCCCAGCAGAGCTCTGTGTCACTGCAGGCCTGCGATTCGTCGGGCAGAAAAAGGCAGGTACGGCAGGCAGAATTGCTGAAGTCAATCTGAATGAATGCAGGCACAGGCTTGGTGCCTTCGAGTGACGCTTCCAAACTGCGTAGTTCATAGACGCTGCAGACCACATGGCACCTGATGGTAGACGGCCAGATGCTCACGGTACCTGGTAGCTCACACTCCGGGCAAGATCAACCCATCGGTAGGACTTGCATGGTCTAGAATCTCATGCGCTCTACGTTGCGTAGACGAAACAAGTGGAGCGTTGCAGCTCTTGTCAGCGTGTCAGCGGTGCCTGTGTGGCGCGTGTGGTGCAATGGGCAATGGGCAGTGCACACTAGCCGTTCAGCTTGAGTTTCTGTGAATCAAGTCTCGACAAAGTCTCCTGAAGACATGCCAGGGTGCTGTCGCACGACCCAGCTGTGGACACCCCGGAAAAAGACGACACCCAACAACCCCAACCTGTTCAGTCACTGCGGATGTGTCCGCGACGGCACGTGTCGCTTGCGGCTTGGCCAAGCCATGGCCGCCGTGGCATCTCCGGACCTCGGCCATTTCCCGTCGCTGGGCTGGGGAATGGAATGATGCTTTTTTGTCTCACTTGTTTGTCTCTGGGTGGGTGCCGTGCGCGAACGAGGTCCCGGTCGTCATCGAGGTGTTCGCACAACCTCGCCCGCGACCAAAGCGCGTGGCAGTTGAATGAGGGGCTTTCACCACACTGTCCTGCTCCTGAGCTGTAGGTCACGGCTCATCCCAAGGCCGCAGAGGCCCGGAAGTGGGGAATTCCACGAATGAAGGCTTCAGCCTCTTTGGTTCCGGGTCTCAGGAGGTCGCTGACCTGCGGCCCGCGGCTGTGGCAGGGCGCTCTCCTATTTTGCGGTGCCCGGGGTGAGTGCTTCGTCGGAGGCGCACCTGCACAAGCTGCATAGCCGGTCGGCGCCCCAAGTGCGACGTTATGCGACGTCTGCGTGCCGGGGCTGGCTTAACAAGAGAACGACCTGGCCCAGGCTGAGAGCTGGCAGGGCTCCGCCGCCGGGTCCGCTCTCCCAAGTGGAACCGGTTTGGAGTGAAGTGAGCGGTGAGCGCCTGCCTTTGCTCCTGGAAGGCGAGAGCTCCGGTCAGCGCTTCCGCGTGGACAACGGCTTCCTACGAGCCGACTCCAAGGGTCGGCCCTCCCCGGTGCACGAGGGGGCCGCGAGGGAAGTTGTCTCTCCTCTTCTTCCAGGCCTGGGCTTCCGGCAGACGAAGGACCTCAAGGCGCCTCAAAAGGCAGCCATTCCCGGCGGCGACGGCGAGCGTGCTTTTATGGGAGGCGCTGGTCCCCGGGGCCGTGGCCGCTTGGGGAAGCTCGGAGTCAGCCTCAGAGAGGGGAGACGACGTGAGCGAAGCACCACCCCGGAAGCGTAGCGCAGGTTGTTGGGACAGATGAGGGCGACGGCTGGCTGCGAGTCTGGCGCTCTTGCCTCTGAGGTGATCTTGATGGCCCCTTTTTGCGATGCCCCAAGGTCGGGGGCAAGTTCCTGCCCATGTTCGTGAACGGGATTCCCGTCCTCTCGCCCGAGGCATCTCAGTACTGCCCGATTCTAGCCATGGGCAGTGCAGGGAGGTGTGCATAGCTGCATAGCCAAAGGCTGTCGAGCTTCATTCAAGCTTGAAGCTGCCAAAGTCCCACATGACAGAATTCGCCCACCTTAAGGCCTTAAGGGAGGCTTGCTAGGACTCATGCATCTACTTCGTGGCTTCCTGAGCTGTTCAGGGTCCGAATGCTTGGCAGCTCCCTCAGAGGCTCAGACTGGCGCGCGGCCTTGCAGTACCGCCTCTGGTCCTCGCTTCCATGTAAGATGCAGATAGATGCAGTGTAGAGTATGTAGAGTACAAAAACCCTGCATGTCATAGATGTATGTATGCACAAGCAGCATTACGCTTGGACTCATTCCCTCCCTCCCTCTCTTCCTGTCTGTCGGTCTGCTCCTCGAAACTCGCGGGCCAAGGGTCCCAGCCTCCCGGTGCTTATTCTTTCCGAGCGGCCGAACGAGGTCTCCGCGCTCTCAGAGAAGCGGCTCTAGCGCAGGCGCCCGCTGTGGGAACTGCTTTGGTACCGTGTTTTTGGTGCAAAGTATTTGCTCTGTGGGTTCTTAGACATCGTCTCTTCGATGCAAAATATTTAGCTATGCGTTCTTAGACCCTTTGCGCAAGTGGGTGACGGCTCTGCCTGCAAAGGTGCTTTTGCAGACGCAGACACGCAGCTCGCTCCGTACCCGCCAGTGCCAGAGAGCCCCCTAACTCCGCAAGGCTTTGGCTTCTGCGGTTCGGCTTTCAGTAAGGCCACGACTCGCCGCTCCTCTTGCTGCCGGGGTTCTCCCCCCGATGGCTCCCTTGGGCTTCCTGGCGCCCGCGACGCCGATGGGTTCTTTTGCCCAGGCCTGCATATGCACTGCATGGGGCTTCCTAGAGTTTCGGGGTTTTGGGAAGTTCAAAGAGATTAGGGCCCTCCTTGTCAGGCACTGGGTGTTGGGGGCCTTGCTGCTGTGCCCACGCCATGCCGGCTGCCGCGAAGGCTCCCCGAGCAGGTGCTGCGCTGAGCAACATCTCTTTGCGTGTTTCGGAGACTTGCTGTAGGGGCCCTTCATTTAGAGACAGAGATTGGTAAGGATTTGATTGTTTGAGTTGAGGGATTCTGATTGAGTCCAGTGATTACCGTCTGTAGCATCCGAAGCCCCCCATCGCAGAGACTTCTCTGAAGACGACAGCTTCGGGCTATGACATTCTGGCAGGCTTTTCCAGACTTCCGCGGGCTCTTTCGAGATTTGGCGCCGAGCTTACGTCACATGTGCTGAGTTATGCTCCCAGCCGCAGAGCAGAGCAGTGCAGAGCAGTGCTGCGCTTCAGGTTTCCCTGCTCCAGAAGTCGGAGCCTCCGGTTCCGGGTGTTGCGGGTCCTTCACATTTTACGGTGTGTCTGCTTTCGAACTCAGGTGCCAGAAGAAGGTGGCGAGGGGGGCACGCCCGAGCCGGCAGCCCAAGAAGCCATGCAGTTGCAATCTCTGGGGACGCGCGCATCATCTGCCACGCAACGCTGCCCTGTAGTGTGGGCTCAAGAATCAAGTCAGCATTCACCGCCACCTTCTTTAATCCAGCTGCCCAACCTAAGGTTGTGCACATCCTTGTGCATGAGCTTTCTAGTCTTTCGGTGTTGAGCAGCAGCTTCTCACTGCCCTGATGATGGTTCCGGAGAGCACGCTTGAGAACACCACCTGCACGGGTGGCCTTCTTCTGGTGATCTTTCTCAGCCTGGCCCTATGCAGCCAGAGGCAAGGACGCCAGAAAGCTCCAAAGGATCAGACCTTGAGCGCTTCGCCCTCATCCCCGTCCCCACAAAACGAGAGATGCTGTGCGATATGTTTGGAGCAAATGGGGGCCGAGGAGCCCACCGCAGTGGACTCCGCGAAGTCTTTGAAGTCTCTGAAGCTCAAGGTAGACCTCTGCCGCCTATGCCGCTTGCCCTGTGGCCACGTCTTCCATCACACCTGCCTCAGTCGATGGTTCAAAGTTTCGGAGAGCTGCCCCTACAGATGTTCAGATGCCTCCTGCGAAGACTCCCGCAACTCCGAGAGGGTCCCAGTGGAGGTAGAGCGCACTGAGCGAGAGGAGCGCAGTGCGGGGCGCAGGGAAGAGTCCGACGCGTGGTGCTTTGTGACCAGCGCCGAGAGGTGCAGAGCCACTCGGATCAAATGTAAACGTACTTTTGCGTGTTACACATCCCAGAACCTAGAGCGTATGTATGTGTCTACGTATCATGTATTTCCTGCGGGTATATGTATGTGCATCTGCGGCTCATGTTTTATGCGCCGGCCGGCAGTGCACACATCGATTGAGTCATGGGATAATGGCGCCGGAACGGGTAGTTGCAACCAGGAAACTATGTAGAAGTCCGATATGACCTTTGGAGGCCTGACTCAGTCTATCGTGTCTTTGTGGCACAACAAAGACCTCCAGGCTGCCAGAGCAGCGTACCGGCGATGCCTCGGCCTCTGACGCTGAGCCTTTCCCGTGAGGCTCCCGGTCGCTTTGACACCGGGCAGCAAGACGCAAAGGAAAGGAGAGCGAGTAGGAGAGGGAGAGCTTCAGAGAGGGACGTAGGCTTCTTGGTAAAGCCAGAGCTCAGCCCAACTGGGCCGGCTCCTCCAGCCTCGCGGAAGGAGCGAAGAGCTCCAGAGGCAGCACAGTCTGCGCCTGGTGTTTCTGCCCTTGTACAGCCCCGCAGTAAAAACGAGGGAGGCGTTCGGGGTGTTGCCGTCGTGGCAACAACTCGCCAGCACGTGTATGTACATACCATTAGGAGATGTCGCAAGGCTTCAATTGGCCACAAGTGCCCATGCATTTCGCTGGGACAGCTGCAGTCCTAGCTTGACTCCGACCGAAGCAACAAAAAGCCGAGATGAGGAGCCACGGATGGTGCAAAGACAGGATGCGCAGAGGGCCTTGTCTTACTGTCAGGGAAGGAGCTGGCGATGCTGGAGAATTTGGAGAGGCTTCGCGGGGCCGCGGGGCTGGCGGGGCTGGGACTTCCTCTCCATGATGAACACTGAGATCGCTCTTTGCAGGGTCCTCGCGGAGGAGCTGCGAGAAGGGGGGGGCCCCGGACATCTCTCGGCCTCCTGGCCTGAGGCTTAGACGAGAAGAGCCACCCTCGCCGCCGAATCGCTTAAAAAAATCGCCTAAACCCTCAAGACAACAAGAAAGGCACTACCTGCTGCAAGAGCTGGCTCTCACACGGCAGGCTCTGCAAGGCCTCTTCTTGGGGATTCTTGTAAGGAACCACGAGGGCGCCCCTTGTGAAAATTCACAGGGAGAGGGAGGAGACCGTGTCTTCTGTCTTGCTCGAGTCTGACATTGCAAGCTGGGCCCCTCTGCACCTCACCGCTGAATTTGCACCAGGGAATTGTGAAGACTAGACACGATAGAGTCAAGTCGCGGAGTTTGGGTGAGACCTCTTGGCTCCAGCAAGGAGTCCAAAGTGAGAAGCTCGGTCTTGAGCTCCTGGTCCTACCTGTGAGGCCGGCTGCTGGCCAAAGACCGGGAGCCGCTTGTCCAAGGCCAAGGCCGCGCTGCAAGCTGTGCCTGACACTCTCGAGGTGATGTCACGAGAAGTGCATGTTTGGCCAACTCCGAAAAGGAAATTCTGGAACCTTCTTGAAGAAAGTTCCATGGAAACCAGGTTCATTTCTTGGGAAGAAGGCTTCAAGCTTGAAGGGACACACGGAAACAGTCCCATGTGAGCACACATGCAAACATAAAAAAATCAATGTGCCAGTTGTGCGGTCTGTTTCGCACCATTTACCTGCAGGAATGCACTTAGCTTATGAACCGCTGCTCTCTTTCAGCCCTTGTGACGTCCCGAGTTGGTAGGTTGAAACGGCAAATTCGGTTTGTCCTGGCACGCTGGCAGCTACAGCCACAACGGGACCGCTGGGACCGCTGGGCCACGGCCCGGGGATCCCTCGGCCTCGGCACTTTTGAGCCCGTTTCGGGCCCCCGTGCCGATCTGCACACCGACGGCGCATGGGAAATGTTCTGACGTCTTTGATTTCGCTGTGCCAGCAAACCTAGCAGCTAGACTTTCTTCGTGTCGAGAATGACTGTGGGCCTCCTGTCTTCGGTGCAGTTGCTTCTGGCATAGCGGAGGCTTCAAAGGCCATGGGAGAAGCAGGCTTGTCAGATTACTGGCCGCTTTGGGCCTTTGCCGTCATTCTTTTCCACTTGTTTCTCTTGGTCTTGAAAAGTTAGCCATCCCTTTTGATGTTTTCGTGCCTGAAGCCGCAGCAACGGTAGATAGGATCCTCCTGGAAATCAGAAGCGTGAGGAGTTTGGATGCATGGCCCGACAAATCTCTTCTGAAAGTAAGTTCGGGGCAGCTACGGTACGTCGTTGCAGGAGCCGAGGGTTTGGAGTTCCAACTGTGTCCACATTCCAGGGCTGCTGGACACTGTCGACTTCTCGATGTCGAGGCCTCATTTTCAGCCTTATGTTGAGAAGAGGGGCGGAGTATCCCGAAACTCCTAAACCCTCATCCTATGATGCCCTTAACCTGCAGACCCTCATCCCCTCAAAGCCTTGTACCGTTACTGTGAGGACCTGCTACTGCCCTAAGCTCTAAACTTAAACCTCTAAAGCCCTAACACATAGCAGCTAGCAGACTTAAGACCCTGCGCTATATTCAACCCTCCCAAACATCTCAGGCCCGAGCGCGGTTTGGGCTCGGCCCCGGGCGCCTTCGGCGTCCCAGGCCGAGAAGTCGCGGAGACCTCGGAGGATTCCGAGCCGGAGGACCTCACGAGCAGAATGGAGTCACAACGCTGGTCTCCAAGCATTTTCTGTCTATGTCTGTGTAGATCATATACATATACAGTGTGCTATGTTAGTACATGTATGTCTGTCTGTCTATATATATATATACATATGTATATATGTATTATGCATACTATGCAATGTCATGTAATGTAAGTCTCTGTGTGTGTGTGTGTGTATGTATGTTTTGAGGCGACTTTTTCAGAAATCATGTGGAATTTTCGGTTCAGAAATATGGAACAGTTCTTTCCAGAACGCAGATCTTCAGCAAAGTTTTCGGGGTTTTAGCGGAAAATTTGCCTTAATATATAGGAGAAGGCGTACCTTTGCATTTCAAGGCCTGGTGAAAATGAACGGGGTGTAGGCTTAAGGGCCATATGCATGTCCAGACTTGGTATAAATGCATGGGATTTAGGGTTTAGGGCTTAGGGCCCATGAGGTTTAGGGTTTGGGGCCATAAGCATTTCCAGGCTCGGTATAAATGCACAGGGTTTAGGGTTTAGGGTTCGATTACGGACGATGCTGACGAATTTTGGCATTTTACATGGCTGAGAAATCCGCGCTTGTTTCTGAAAAACTTGGTGTTGTTTCTGAAAAATCCGTTCCATTGCTTCTGAATATATGTGCATGTTGTCTGAAACGGCATGCATTGAGCATGCTTTTTGAAGCATTCCATCACCCTGTGTATGTATGTATGTATGTATGTATTTTTTATGTATGTTTTCATGCATATATGCATGTATACAGGTTGGGGGTTCTTTTTGGGTATTTTTTATGGTGTTTTTTTGGTATTTTTTATGGTTTTCGGTTCGGTGGGTACGGGAGTCAATCAGTCAGTCAGCCAGCCAGCCAGCCAGGCAGTCAGTTAGTCAGTCCGTCTGCCAACCGCGCGGTCAGTCAGTCAGTCAGTCAGTCAGTCAGTCAGTCGGTCGTCCAGCGGTGAGTCCGTCTGCCAACCGAGCCGTCACTCAGTCTGGCTGTCTGTCAATCAGTCTGTCAGTCCGTCAATCCTCTAGTCAGTCGGGCTGTTGATCTGGCGTTGCACCTGCAACCAGTGAGCATGGGGTACCGGAGACTCGGAATCGCCAAAAGAGGGGGCGCGTTTAAGACATATGATGAACCGGAACCGCCGAATCAGGGGGCGTGTTTAAGATAGATGATGAGCCGTTATCACCAAAAGAGGGGGCGTGTTAAAGACATATGTTGAAACGGAACCGCCAAAAGAGGGGGCGTGTTTAAGATATTGTGTGAACGGTTATCGTCGAATGCGGGCGCGTGTAAAGATATCTGGTGAACCGGAATCGCCGAATGACGGGGCGTGTTGAAGATATGATGAGCCGTTATCACCAAAAGAGGGGCCGTGTTTAAGGTATATGGTGAACGGTCATCGCCGACTGAGGGCCGCATTAAAGATATATGGTGAACCGGAAAGGGGTGTGTCTAAGATTTATTGCATAATCTATGGTGAACCGGAATCGACAAATGAGGGCGCTTGCTTAAGATGTGATGAACCGCCGGTCCTCTTGCAAGTGCGTTTGCAAATGGGGGGGGCTGCGCCGCCCCCCAGACCCCCCCCTCCGCTTTCTCAAGCCCTGTTTTTCTTTAGCGAACTTCGTACCATCAAGAACGCTATGGCCATTTGCGATGGTCGCAGCAAGTCAACCACATAACTATTCTGAGACTTTTCAAATCCCGTCCCAGGGGCCCAACTCCCCTCGCTTTATGTTTGGGCCACGCAAGCTAAGATATATGGTGAACGGTTTTCGCCGAATGAGGGAGTGTTAAAGACGTATATGGTGAAACGAAATTGCCAAATAAGGGTTGTGCTTCAGATATATATATATATATAATATAATATAATATAATATAATATAATATAATATAATATAATATAATATAGTATAATATAATATAATATTAATATAATATAATATAATATAATATAATATAATATAATATAATGTATATATAATATAATAAAATATATATATTATATTATATATTATATTATATATATATTATATATATATATAATATAATATATAATATATATATAATATATATATATATATATAGATAGATAGATAAATATAAATATATATATATATATATGTATATGGTGAAGCGGAATCGCCAAATGAGCGTGGTTGTTTAACACCTATCATGAGCCGTTATCGCCAAATGAGGGGGCGCGTTTATCATGTATGTTGAACCGTTATCGCCAATTGAGGGTGGTGTGTTTAAGCTCTAGGCTGACCCGGAATTACCGACTAAGCGGGTGCTTACCGCTTGCAAATGCGTTTGCAAATGGGGGGGCTGCGCCCCCCCCAACCCCCCCGCTTTCTTCAGCCCCGTAGTGAACTTGCTTTAGCGAACATCGTGCCATCAAGAACGCTTTCTGGTCATTGGCGATTGGTCGTAGCAAGTCAAGCGCCTAACATATATGAGACGTTTCACAGCCCGTCCTAGGGGCCCAACCCCTCCCCCTGCTTTATGTTTGGGTCGCGGTGAATGGTTTTCGCCGAATGAGGGGGTCTTGAATAGATATATGGTGAACCGAAATTATCAAATAACGGTGGGGGGGGGGGGCGTGCTTCATGTATATTTCATGTATATATATATATATAGATATATAGATAGATATATATATATATATATATATATATATGGTGAACCGGAATCGCCAAATGAGCGTGCTTGTTTAAGAAGTATCATGAACCGCTATCGCCGAATGAGGGGACATGTTTAACATGTATGTTGAACCGTTATCGCCAATTGGGGGGGCTGTTTCAAGATATAGGATGACCCGGAATTCCCAAATAAGGGGGCGTGCTTTAGATATGGTGAACCGGAACTGCCAAATCAGGGGCGTTCTTCAGATATATGGTTCAAGATCTATAATGAATGGAAATAACCAGAATCGCTGAATCAGGGGGCGCGTTTAAGATATATGGAGAACCGGAATCGCCAAACGAGAGGGCATGTTCAAGATATATGATGAACCGGACTCGCCGAATCAGGGGGCGTGTTAAGATATATGGAAAACCGGAATCACCAAACGAGGGGGCGTGTTTAAGATATATGATGAACCGGAATCGCCGAATCAGGGGGCGTGTTTAAGGTATATGATGAGCTGATATGAGCTGTACTGACCAAAAGAGGGGGCGCGTTAAAGGTTATATATGTATATACATACACATATACATATGATGAGCCGTTATCGCCGAATGATGGGCGCGTTCAGGATATATGATGAACCAATATCACCAAAAGACGGGGCATGTTTAAGGCATATGGTGGATGGTTATCGCCGAACGAGGGGGCGTGTTAAAGATATATGGCATATGGTGAACCGGAATTACCAAACACGGGGGCGTGTCCAAGATATGTGGTATAGTCATATCTATGGTGTACCCCAATCGCCACATGAGGGCGTGTGCTTAAGATGTGATGAATCGCCGGTCCTCTTTTGCATTGCGTTTGCAAACCGGGGGGGGGGGGGGCGTTTTATAATTCTTCTTGAAATTTTCAAGTGTTCCGGATCCATCATAGGCAAGGAGGGGGGGTCCCCGCTTCGTCAAACCGCGCAAGCTCGCTTCAAACATCATTTTGCCAGCAAAAACAGAGCCATATGAACGTGATGCATACGTACATTGGGTTTGCAACTGGGGGGCTGCGCCCAACCCCCCCGCAACCGCCCACTTTTTTTTCATGCCGTGCATGGCCTGCCGTCAAGAAGAATTCCGTCAATCACATAACTCTTCGTCAAGAAGGAATTGCGTCAATCACATGTTTCTTCTTGAAAGTTTCGAGTGTTCCAGGTTCATCATACACGGTGCAAGTTCTCGACAATCCAGGCCCAGAAAACCATAAAAAAGTTCAAAATCAGGCCCCTCCACGTGACCCTTACAGGGTTTTCGGCACAGAAAACCATCAAAAATACCCAAATAAAACCATAAAAATTACAAAACAAATCCTGGACCCCTATGTATGTATGTATGCATGCATGTATGCATGGATGGATCGATGGATGGATGGAAGGCGAGGAATTGAGGAAAATGCAACATGAATCGACTCGATAGACGTATCAGCATAGACATAAACATGAGCATCCGTCCGTCCATCCATCCATGGCATGGTATATGGGTATATGGGTTTGTGGAAGTTTGGGAGCTTGGAACATTAAGGCATTTTGTAATATTGCTTATGCACGGGTATGTGTTTTGACTGCAACTGCCGCAGGTAAGACGGAGTCAAAATGTCGGTCAGGTAGTCGATGCTCATGTTCACGATTCCAGAATTTTTTTGCTCTTGATGTGTGTCATTCCATAGCCATTGGAAGTTTCGCGTCAAGCATCTCGCACCCCCTCCGGGCCGTACATCATCGCCGTCGTCGGCATGGACCCCGAAAACATCATGCTCGCGAGTGCCATGTGGGACCCGTACACTACACCATCTCAAGATTGGGCCTATGCTTTTGGGAGTTGCCCAGGCAAGGATGAGAGAAACCGCGAGACACATCGAACATCCTCGAGCCCATTTTATGGGCAAAACGGGAAAAGCACAAGCCGCCTCTAACGCCGGCGGGATTCCTTGCACACAATGCGCAGGCAGTGTCGATAGTCCTTGTTCGTCCCGTGGTTTTTGTGGGCCGACAATCACAGGCAGCCTTCACGGACGCCAATGACAGCGCCGCACCTGGTGCAGTTGCGGCCTTCAGCAAAGCCGGCTTGGAGGTGCAGTTGACGTGCTTTGAGCAGACGCCGTCCTTTTCAGAGGCAACGTCATGCGCAATCCCGCCAGTCTATGACAGTTTATGATGATGGCGACATCCGCGATTATGCAGTCAATAAAGAGAGACCAAAAGATTGGCCCCGCCCCGAACATCATGATGATTCGTTCCACCTAGTGCGTATGCTGGTGTAGCTGTTGTTTCCGCCAACATGTGCCGCCAAGGAACTGCCGCGTTGCCTGCCGATCGATGTTTGTCGTGATGCTGAGGAACGGGCACCCCTTCAAACTTCAAACCACGATGGAACGAGATCCTTTTCGCAGGAAAGGAGAAGGATGCAAAACAAGGCGTAGGGCGTAGACAAACCTAGACTTCGATCGCCTTAGCAGGAAACCGAAGAGGGGAGACGAAAACATATCCGATCACGCAAAGTCAAATATCAAAAGAGTCACTACCGTTATGGCACCTCTGTTTGCCACGATTGGGCTTCAGTTCGAGAATGATGCGACATCCAAGACATGTTGCTTGTCTTGCTGTGGCATGGTGCATCTTGGCGACGTGCAAGCGGCATCCCCCCACGCCGGCATCCTTGCTTCCTCTTTGAGTAATCAAGGATGTGTCTCACCAAACAAACTTTTCGCGTTTTAACATGCATGTCGGGAAGACTGTACGTAGATTGTGGAGGTTATGGGCAACGTTTAATCCACGATGAATGCGAGGAGTGAGACAATCGCATTTCCGAGTCGTGTGTTATCAGTGGGTTGCGCATCTGTCTCGAACACATGGTGTGTTCCCACATTTTTTCGCATGTTTTCCGTGGAACATGCACTTGCATACGTTCGATTTGGTGAACTCACACATACGTGCTGCATTTAGCAGCACATGTCCAAACTAGAGCACTGCCAGACGGATCAACATTTTTCCTCATGCAGCAGCCATAGCTTTGACCAAGAATCAGGATTTGGACGCGCTCGGTGTATATGCGTGGGACAATGTACAATGCTTGTGTTTAATTTGTGTAGCACTCGAGAAGACAGCATGTTTAAATCACATAAGGCAAAAAGTAATGTACTGTGTAGTATCATGCGTGTAGGTTGCAGATATAACGCATCAGAATCGCAAGTGAGCCGGTATTTGCTACGGTTGGTTTCTGTTTTCGTCCGAGACGAGACAGAGGCAGGTTTGTCCTTGTGGGGGTTTACCACGTGCAGGGAAAACACGCCTTCAAACATGATAAGTCGGTAATAAGACGTTCTCATGTTCAGCGCTTCAGCAGGAGCCGACCCAAGTGGCGGAGATCTTGGCCGAAGCGGCCAGGTTCTCCGGGCTTAGAGCGCTTTGGTTTCATGTTGCGGGGTGTTGCGTTGCGGGCTTTCCTTTTTGTTGAATGCGATTCTTTCGGGTTCAGGGTTGTTTGGGTTTCAGGGTTCAGGAAGTTTCAAGGTTCAGGATGGTTCGCTCAGGGTTGTTTTTTCGCCGTGCAGTTGCGGAATCTTGAGCAGTTAGGACACCTTCTGGGCCCCTGTTTGAACGCAGAAGCCCTTAAAGCCGTGGCCCGAACCCCAAAGGCTTCACGCCGGGAAAACAAAACTTCGTGTTTCCAGGGCCGGCGACGATGCGAAAGCGGCGGCTGCCGTGGCGCAGGCCGTGACTCAAGCCTCCTTTGTTCTGAGTGGCGTGGAGCGTGGACCGGCGTGGACCGGTTTCAGGTGGCCAGCCGACCCCGCACCCCCGGCCCGAAAGGGAGGCGGAGACGAAGATGGGGAGTGCGGGGACATGGGGGGTGGCCCCAGTTGTTCCGACCTGCGAGGGCCCGCAGGCGGGCTGGAAGCCCTTCGCCCTCTCCGAACAAACCGCCACGTTCGACTCCAAGAGGTGCCTTCTGAGTTCTTTTGAGGGCACGCGGGACACGGCTCACTGCTCGAAGAGTTTTCTGTTTCGGGTGAAGCCGTGGGGTTTGCGGAGCCCCGCGGGGACTCCCGGGACTTGGCTTCGCAGGCCTCAGCTCGGCGACGAGCGCGCGCCCGGCCTCGATCGAGGAGCATCCTGAAATTGATGGAGAACCATCCCTTGATGGGGTTTGGCGGGCGGAGGACCGGTGTTCCGAGCTGGAAAGCTGCGTCGCTCGAGCACAGAAGGCCTCCGTCATGTTCACCCCCTCCCTGTCGTCCTCCCTCGAAAGCTGGTCGCTAAAAGCACGGCTCGCTAGCTGTCTAATTCTCTGTCTCTCTATCTCTCTCTCTCTCTCTGTCTCCGTCTCTCTCTATCGCTCTCTCTCTGCATCTCTTTTTGTCTGTCTCCTGCTCTCGCATCCCCGATGCCAGGCACGGGTGGAAAGGCTGCTTGGCTCAAAGGCAGGCCCTGCGGCAGTCAAGATTCGATGGGATTCTCCAGGCAGCTTGGCCGGCCAGCCGAGGACCAGGGCGAGAGCGGAGCTTCGCGAGAAGGGCTGCAAAGCCATTGAACGCGAACATGTTCTGGAGGACTTCCTGTCCAAAGTCTGCGCTTGACTGTGACGCCAAGGTGCCTACGAGCACTACTGTATCGTTTTAGTGGTGGTATGCGCCGAAGCGAGTATTGCTATAAACAGGCATCATGTGTAGGTATGTACATAGGCAAAAAATGGCAAACATAGACGCACACATATCACATAGATGTATTGAGCCTATGGAGCATGTATACTTTCGCTTGCCGTGCTACCGTTCGCTGCTACTGCAGCAAGACCCCATCTTTAAGGGGCACGCGCCCCTTGAGCTGCGCAGTTAACGTCGCAACACGAAGCGGAGTGGCCAGCCGCAATGGGTCGAAGCCCCGATTGGATCCAGAAACACTTGCAGGCTTCACTTTTTCCGAGCTTCGGGCCAGGGCTTTCCGCTGCTCCGCTTACAGCTAATGCCAGCCAGCGAGGCTAAAAAGCTGGAGATGGGTGCCCCTGTGATGTTCAGAGATTCAGTGAATGATTACCTAACAAAAGCCAGAAAAGGATGGAAATCATGTTATGGCATAAGCTCTTAGTTCCAGCGGCTTAAGAAAGGGCATTATGATGGTGGACTTGCCCATGAAGTTTAGGTAGCTTTGATTATTGAATCTTTTGGGTGCAGATGCAGTTACCACAAGTGAATCGCATGAATCACCAGCACCATCCAGCACCGCAGCAATGACGCCCAAACACTGATTTGGTTCTTTCGCATTGGGGCACTTTGGACGGATCCGGAGACGCTGTGTCGCTTAGCGGCTACGTCCACGCAGTTTCGTGCTGCGGATGAGGACGAGCATTGGAGGGTGCTGACCGGCCATGTGGTACTACGCCCGCTTCAAGCAGACGTTCGAGTGCATGCCTTCGAAGTTGCTTGTGGAGCCAGCCGCAACGCCATGAAGACCAAGGTCTTGAAGCTGTACCATCCTGTGTTCCAGGTTAGGTGCCGAGTGCGCAGCATTTGGAGAGACATCGAGCTCCTTTGGGAGCAGCTGCTTCCTGAAGCATAGGAAAACTTGCTGCCAGGCGTCGGGGAGCAGGAGCTGGAAGAAGTTGAGGGACGGCTAGGTTGCCAACTTCCAGAAGATCTCGCGGAAAGCTTCAGGATTCACGAGGGCATGAAAGAATGCGGCCGGAGGAAAGGGCGGTTCCTCTTCGAAGTGGACAGGGAAGATCCTTATGCGTTTGCCACTTTCCATATTCGCCCTGCCCTACAGTTGCCGGAACTTGTCGAAGAAGAGAGGAGGAAGGCACATGCAAAGATTCCCCCGGGCGCAGACTTTGTGGCAGGATGCCGTTCCTTCATAGCACGCCAGATACCCCTGACGGCGGTTGCTTACTTGGAGCGGAAGAAACCGTTTACGCCAGCAGGTCCCTGGGTGCCATTTTTAGCGAGTGACTGTCTTTCAGATAAGGTTGGGCGGACGCCCAACATCCTCGTGGCCTTCCCCCACCGTGATCGGATGACGGTGCTTCAGGCAATCCTCAGCCAGCTCGAGCAGTACCCAGAGCGCCCTCCTCATCGAACTGGCAAGCGCAATGGCGATGATGCAAGGCCACTCGGTGCTGTTGCTTTTCTGAGAATCTTCGGCTTCTGTGGTCCAACATGGTATGGCCACTGCAACTGTTTTGAGCAGTTCCTGAGCGAGAGCATGGACGTATTGCAGGCGATCCAACATGCTTGGTCGAAACCATGTTCAGGTTGTGACCAAGACTGGCTTGGTTGGCATTGCTCGAAGTGCAAGAGAATTGTGGGGGAGTCGTTTCCTGATGCGTTGGAACGACTCCTTCCAGTCAGAGAAGGCAGCATGGCACCCTTTGACCGATACCCCTGGTGGGCAGCTGCTGTGAGATCCTACGGGTGGGATTGCCCCGAATATCTTTACAAACGTATGCAGGGAAAGGCAGCACCCTTCTTGGGTCAGTTTTAGGTCATTGAGTAGGCTGCGGCCTTGGGATCAATGATTGCCTTGTGCAGATTTTTGGCACACAGGCTGGAAAAGTTGCCATGCCTGGCAATGCCAAGTTTGTTGAAAGCCAAGAGTGACGACGCTGCGTGGCAGTGCAGAATAGAGGTGCCGGCAGTGGCTATGCTCGCGAGCTCGCAGGCATGCTGGGTTAACTCGATCGCAGATGCTCAATGTCACTGTAAGCTCTCCGGAGCCAAGCACAAGGGGGAGCGCCCGGAAGAGTCTTAGTGAGGATTGGACCCGCTGACAGCCCGCACAGCCACACCCACACGTCACCAGATCAGCCATGCCTGACAGACCGAGCCAGACACCGCAGAGGTAGTGGCAAGTTGAGCCATGGTCCTCCGTTCCTGATGACGACGCTCCTTGCAAAGCAAGTTGCAGCATTCCGGCACGAGCATGGCCTCGGCCTTGGAAGGGCGCGCGGACCACCGCTCCGCTCCGCTCCGCCGTGCCAGGCATCTCCTCCCTGGGGCCAAAGAGAACAGCACCACCTTCCGTGCTCTTCACGCCTCAGGCCCGGGACCAAAAAGAGAGCAGGGGGCGCTTTGAGGTCATATTACTAGTAGCATCCAGTGCGCAAAGGAGGTGGCCGCTCCCTTGCTTGACGCTTGAATCCGACCTAATCTTCAATCTGCTGAGATGCCTCAAGCTTGTCAGATGCAGGAGGCGAAGCGCCTTGACCCGGAGGCTTTCGCAGCGCTGGCGCTGCGGGGTGTGGAGCAGGCACATAGCATGTCTTTGAGGGTTCTTAGCACTTCGCTCTCGCTTCCGAGGCTTCCCTCCTGGATCCTGAGATCGCCTCGCCTCCCGGAAGCAACAACAGCCTTCTCTTGGGGGTGGGGAGGGGAGAGAGCTTCGAGCTTCGAGATCTTAAAGGTACGGCAGCCTCTTTGAGGGTCCTCAAAGAGACCGAGACCTGATGACGCGGGAGGTGCGACCTGCAAGCTCTGGATTGAGATGCTAGAGATTTTTCAAAGGGCTTCTAGGCAGGTGTTATTGATTAGGGGCGTGCTTTACGGTTCCACTCGACTGTTGGGTCGCTGTTCAGCGGGTTTGACCGTATTGGCTGCAGGAGAATGCGGCGCTGGATGAAAAAATCCACCATCTGCTGCTGCTCTTGTCACTTGACTTGTGCATCAAGCAAGTCTTGTTTTTGTTTACAGGAAGCAAACATAGGACATCGGAGCACAAACCGTGGCTTGCAGATAGTGCTGAGTTTCTGCCACTCCCTCCCCCGCCCTGTCTCTGAAGATCCCGCCATGCTGCCCGTCGTCCACTTTTTGACGACTTTCGACTTTCTCTTAACATTCTGCGCCCTCGGCGTTTCTCAGGTCTCCGCACCTGCAGGCGACCAGCGCCCAGGAGCCCGGAATGTGCAATGGCAACTAGTCATCATGCAAGCAGAAATTCCGACAGGCCCAGAATTCATACAAAGACACGCGCGCATGAATGTGTGCATGCATCGCTCATTCGCAAGTGCAGTTGCCAATGTACAGGCACACGGACTACGGATGTATGCCCGTTGCCCGAAGTTCCAGTGCCGTCACCAAACCAGGTGTTCGTGTTAGTGAAATGACTGGGTCAAGCAGCGAGGGAATGAACCAACACAGGCTAACGAGCCAAATTAGACAGCTGTGGCTTGGCAAGTTCATGGAAATTGGAGTGGCTGCATGAAGCTGTACAGTCGACAACATGATCATCAGCATGGAATGGACGGAGGTGCTCAGTCTCCTTGTCTCAACTTTCTTCTGCCCGGTGCAGGAGTGTTTGGAGGGTCTTCTCTACAGGCGCGCGAAACCGAAGTGGCGGTCTATAACCGTCTAAGTGTCTTCTGCCTCGTTCCCGTTTGAGGTACCATGCACACCGCTGGAATGTGGACGATCTCATGGGGGCCGCCTTGCCACACCATGCCTGCATCCGAGTTCTTCGAGTGAAGGCTTCGTGCGTAGCCGGTTTCAGGGCGTCTGCGCACCGAGGACTCGCCCCTGTTCACAAAGCTTGTGCAGGACGGCTATCAATAGCTTTTTTGTAGGAACACCCCACCAGCACCTTCACTCAAGGAAGGCACCTCATTCGTAGGACTTGGGGGTGATGGCTGTTTATGTGTGTGTGTGTGTAAGAGTTTCAGCGTCGGCTCTTGCCAGCTGGGGCAACGATCAACCCCAAAGCCTTCAGCATTTTGTCAAGCAGCCCTAACACCGACGAACCTGTAAGTCCCTGAAGCCCAGAGCCCTCAAGACAAAGCGACTAGAGACCCCTGACTGCCAGGGACTGCATGTTGAGGGCAAACCCCTCTGGTCCTGGCTGGCGACCTTGAAGGTCCTTCAAACATGGGACGGTTTTGAAGGGTTTGAGGGGTTCGAGACGTTTTGCAGGTTTAGAGTTTTAGGGTTTTAAGGTTTAGGACTCAGGGCATTTTAAGGCTTTAGGGAATGAGGACGCCCCGATCCGCTTCTCTGGAGGCCAAGCCGGCGGCATTGCTGCGGTCCGCCTTGGCCAAGTACTGCGCGAAGGAGTCTGGGGAGGGTCTTTTGGGCTCATGATGAGCACCCAGAGGACAACACAAGTATATGGGAGTTTCCGAAAATAGTAGGATCCTTACTATAAGGATCCCCAAAGAAGGTACCCCTATCTTCGGAGACTCCCATATATTGATTCTACTCACGAATCACTTGGGCTTTGTAATGAGTGATCGTAAGGAGAATGGTCGTCAGACTTCCATGCCAGACTGAGCTCCTCGGAGGACATCGCCGTGCTGATTTTTGTCGGGAAGGTGATGGAGGACCTTGCAGGGACAGAGTCGTTTTGGGTTCTGGGTGATGTCCTCACTCAGCTGTGAGGAGAATCTGAAACTTCAGAAGGCCAATCGTGCTCTGATGACTTTCTACGCGGCACTCTGGCTGGACACGCTAGCGCTGCAGGGGCCGGGGTTCCCGGCAAGAAGAAGAATCTGGTAAAGCAGGAGCTGACATGGTCCCATGGTCCACGGTCACTTTCTGAGGTCGCTGGCGCAGGAGCTGGTTCAGGCCTGCAGCACATGTGAGTGGGAGCTGGAAGCACTGGGCCCAAGCCGAGGCCCTCTTGCCCACCCTGCTGCTGATGCTCCGGCGGCCGCGGCCCAAAGACGCCTTCCATGCCGCCGGGCCCCGAAGAAGGGCTCGAAGATTCCAAGACGGGGCTAGAGCGAAAGCCTCAAAGCCTCAAAGCCACTGTCCTTGCCGAGGGCCTCACCATCGCTGGAGCGCTTTGCACCAAGGTGGAGCTGGAGGCGACAGCGGGGAAATTTCGGTAGAGTAGATGAGTAGACATGCCTCTCAGCTCTGGAGTGGCGCCGAAGCAAGGCCAGTGTGCAGAGCAAAATCATCCACTTCGCCGCCCGACAGGCATGAAACCCTGTCTCGACTCCTAAGAAGACGAACTTGTTGTGGAGTGGCCAAGTCCTCAGCTCGGCAGGCGAAGGGAGCGGAGGGCCAGCCGGCGACGGCGCTGATTGCGGCCCTCCTGCAGCTGCAGGCACCTTCCCCGCGCCCTGAAGAGGACCTTGCAGGGAGCCTCTTGCGCCGCCCCCCGAGCCGCGAGGCAGTGCAGAGCGTCGACAGCGGTGCGGTGAAGGCTTTGGCCAAGAACGGCCCGGAGGCGAAACTCTTTGTCACACCCTAGGCCCTATAGGCCCTAGGATCTCCAAAGCCGACTTTTGGCAGGAGCTGCTGGAAGCTCTGCCGGTCGGGGTGGACTGCGGGAACCTGCTGGCCAGCGTGGTGAAGGCTTTGGGGCTCATGTGGATGTTTTAGGGTTCTGGGAGTTGAAGCTGTATACGCCTCAGTTCAGTGCGTATGCATGTCAGATGTCTTCTCTGTCTTGTGTACATGTTCACTGTTCACCTTTGCTTGAAATGCCTAGTGCAAGAACTTGCCTGCGGTTTTTCTGTTGAATGTGCTGGTCGGTCGGACTTGGGCAGTCAAAGATGAAGAAGGGTGCGGGCGATGGCAATAAGCCTTGCCTGCCTTATGCCTCGTTCGATTTCTAGGACGGTACTGGTGATCTGCCGAGCCTGACAGCGATTCTCGAGCAAATCAGTTATCATGCAGTGAAGTCGAGATACTCGACGATAGCTGAGCCGCTGTTCACCAGACTCCTCCCGGACAGTGTCACACTGCCAGGCCGGCCTAGGCCAACTTGCAGACCCAAGCGAAGCCAGCGAGGAAATCGAGGCCGGCATTGATTCCGGCTTTTGCAAGCACCAGTTGTCTTGCTGATCTGATTTGTCAGAGGTGGTTGATACCGAGTCCCAAAGACTAGAATAATTGAAAAACCTGCGAAGCTGACGCTTTCAATGCCGGGCGGAGGCTTTGATCCTCGGGCTCCTCCGGGATGCTCCCACCCTGCGCCGCTACGCAGCGCCCCTGAGCTCCGCGGTGCTCCAGGCCTGGACAGGGCTTCCATGTTGTGGCGGAGGGCCGGCGGCTTTTTTTCGGAGGCCTTCGTCTCCGTGATCGCGGGCAACAGCTCTGCGAAGGAGCGGAAGCGCGTCACCAAGCTGTACCAGGCCGGGGCCCATGAACGGTAGGGCCTCCTGCAGCTCAAGACCGGGGCCATGCACATCTGAGGAGCCGGTGCAGCTGTTGAGCGGCACGGTCCCCGCCGCGCTGGCCGAGGCAGGGAAGGAGCGTTTTTTTGGGGTGGAGCTCTGGAGCTCTTGGAGCTCTTGCCGCGGCGGGAGGCCATCCGTCGAGCCGTGGATCAGGCCTTGGCTCTGGAGGTGGACACTGAGCCCTTGGCCAGGGGCCCCAGGCCCCAGGTAGCCCCAGGCCGAAGGCCTGGTAACCCGCACTTTCTTGAGTGATGCGATGCTCTTCTTAGGTGAGCCTTCTGGCACCGGCCTGTGCGGCCGTGAAAGACGAGGAGGGCGAGCAGGAGGAGAAGCTACTGCCGGCCGTGCAGGCACGGCTTTGAAGACGGGCTTCCGTACGGTGATGGTTCGTCCCTGTCTACCCCGAGGCTTTCCAGCATAAGTCGGCGAAAGCCCGGCGCCAAGCAAGGCAGCAAGCAGACAGCTTTTGCGCGCTGCTCCTGCTCGGCTCTGAGGTTCGATCCCGGGCGGTTCAGAACGCAGTTGCCAAGCTTGGGGAGGACCAAGAGGAAGGCGCGCAGAAAGCGAAGGAAAGAGAAGGGAAGAAAGGGGGGGGCTTGGGCTCTGCGCTTTTGGGGCCCGGCCCTGCGGCCCTCTGTCACGTCAGGCACAGAAGTCACGCAAGAGAGGCGGCGCCTCATGGCCAGCCCAGAACCCAGCGCGACCTTAGCGGTTCGAAGACCTGGGGTTCTCCTTCGCCTTTTTTTGCCTGGCCGTGATCAGAATCAGGCTTGGCTCTGCAATCTCTGGATGATGAGAACGTGGAGGCGCTCGCGTTTCGCGTGCCTTGGCTTGAAATTCCTTTGTCTTGGGGCAGGTGGTGGCAGTGGCGCTGAAGCAAGAGACCTTGTGGACCTCCTCGGAGGTTCCGTCACGTTCTGTGCCCCGGGCGTGTTGCTTTCTTTCTCTGCTTTCCTCCGCAACGCAGGTGGCTGCAAGCACGGCGGCTGACGTGCTGAGCGCTGCCTTGCGCAGGAGAGAAGAGAGAAGAGAGAAGAGAAGAGAAAGAGCTCTCTGTCTCTTAGACGGTGGGCTCCTTAGCCTCAGGCTGCTCCGCCATGGTCAGCCCAAGGGAAATCCGAAGACTCTCCAAGAGCTCTTCCGGTCTTTGCTCCAAGAGGCCACAGGGCACGCTCGCCACGCAGACGCGATGCATCGCGATGCGCGGCATCAGCTGTCTCTTCGCCAGGACTCGCGCGTGCGGGCCCTCTTCCCGCTCATGATCCAAGCATCTGCCTGGGTCTATGGCCGCGAGGATGCAGAACAGGAGCGGAGGAGGCCTAGACTCGACGGGACCGGCCACGGCCTGGAGGTGGAGCCGCGCACAGTCTTTATTTTGCAGGCTGGATGCCCTGCTCCTTCCTCCTCTTTTGCTAGCCTTCGCTGGCCTGGACGCTGCGGAGGCGAGAGCAGGCCCAGGCAAGACGATGCGAGCACCTCTGCTTGGCCCCAGGAGGTCGCTGGACCACTCCTTCGCCTAGAAGAGGCAGCTGCCGAGTTCTGCAAGGCCACGCTACCACGCTGTTCCTTCCAGGCTTCCTTCCGCAGGCTGCATGCACGTATGCGTGCCTGCGTGCCTGCGTGCCTGCCTACATACATACAAACCTACACACGCACACAGTTACGTACATACATACATACATACATACATACACACATACATACATACATACATACATACATCTTTCTTTCGGACGCTGCAAAGAAAGTCTTCGCTTGGCGAGCTGTTGGGACAGGTAGCAACCCTGGCTCATAGAGCATCGTGATTTCACGACTCGAAGCGTGCTTCGAGAATCCAGCATCCGTCGATGTTCGACGGGCACGACATCTGGCACGGATGCCCCACTGTGTCGAATGACTGGACACTCAATCGTGCTGGTAGATACACATATCCTGCTTGAAGAACCTGCTCGGGGATGGTGTTGCAGCGCATCGGTCTTTTCGCGTCATCACAGTAGCGATGCACGGGCTCCGACTCGTGTGAGAAGAGGAAGGCCCTATAATGCCCCGACGTAGGAACAGGTCCTAAGTGCACAATGATGGCCCGCAGCAGATAGGTGCTCAGACTAGTGCGCAAGGCAGCAGCAGATGTTGCCACGGTATGGTCTAACCGTGGGATGTAGAGCCGAGGATCGGGGAGGACGGGAGTGCAGTCTTTTTCTAACCCGGGACATTGGCAAAGCGATTGACCTGCAGAGCTAAGAACTGCGGCTCCCAAGTGAGGGCAGTTGCCCCATCGAAAGCCTGGTGGCACCAACTGCGGATAAGTCTTTGCAGCGTCAACATACCGTGAATGCCCGCTGCAACTTGAGCTGACACCCGACGATCTCGGACCTGATATCCCAGGGCACAATGCAGAGCAGAGGACGATGCTTCAGCGGCAAAGACGGTAAGGCGACATTGCCAGCCTCCAGTAAGGAGATCGGGAATGATAAACCTGCGCACAAAGAGTAAGTACTCCACAGCATCATGCTGCGAGTGGGGCAGGCGCCATTCCGAGTGCAGAAGGTTCCACTGAAGATTAGTCCATAAGTCAGGAAGACGAGCCTGCTCACACATTCGCTGCATGATCGCATGCATAGCCGCCGTCCAAGGAACCAAACCTGAAGGAAGATGCGAAAACAGCCAGCTTAACGCAAGACGACCCGCGAAGCGTGGCTGACCACTTTGCACGAAGGAAACAACGCGGATCGATTTCTTTCCCTGCAGCAGCTACGAGAAAGACGGCATAAGACCAACAAGCCCTTGCCTGCAGAAGTACTACAGCATCGCAGCCCCAGAGAAGTCCTGCTGCACGACTTGGACAGCAGTCGCATTGGACCGATCCGCGTGGATGCCACAAAACTGGCGTTGGGCAGGGATGTGATCACGGACGTCTGGAGTTGGGATGAGCTCTGGGTCGCAGCTTGAGCGATGACACCTTTCCATCCGCAGGGACCCTCCAATCAGCTGCCACAGGGAAGAGTGCGTGAGAGTCATCAGATGGGAGAAGAGGGTCGCCGCTTCCTTGGTCTGAGAGCCTGCTTGGAGCAGGAACGGGATTGATGGACCGTGGAGAGGGCCCGACAGTTTCTGGCGTGAAAGCGGAGGATGGAGAGGGGAGCGAGGCAGACTGCCTGCAGCTCCTCCAAGAGCTCGATCATCTTGGAGAGGGGGATCGGAGGGCGGTCTTCTCGAGGTTCCAGTCGCTTGTCCTCCGGATTGTCCACCAGATAGGGGATGAGGAGCTCGTCTCCGTCTGCCTTCCGGGGCAGGAAGACCTGAAGCTTGTTGGCATGGTCCAATTGCTCCTGCGACTGTGACACCTTCCGAAGGCTTTCCAGCAGAGCATCTACCATCGTCCGAGAGAGGAAGGCCCGAAGGGACATCTTGATGTCGTCCTTCTTCTGATCTTTCATCTCGTGCCAATGCTCTGACTTCTTCACGAACTGGCTTACGAGAGACATCTGGCTGTCCTTCTTGAAGAACATGATGCAGTGCTCGGCCTTGTTCACCCCCATCTGGTCTTCGTGTCTCAGCAGCAGACGCCCCATCATGAAGCAGAATCCCCCCAGCTGCTTGTCTTCCAGCATCGGGCCGCGACCGCGAACCGGCGCCCGAGAGGGCTGTCCCCCCTTGCCTCGGCCGCCACCTGAGCCACCTTTGGATGCCGGGCGTCTCCGTTTGGATTTGTCTTTGGACGGATCCTCCACCGTCTCCTCCGCCGGGGTCTGCAGCACTGCCCTGTTTGTCATCAGTGGTTCACGCGTACGCAAGATATTTTCCGTCACATCAAGCGCCAGCATCCTTTCACTGCTGACCTTGAATTGCTGCGCACCAATTGGCTTTCGGCCCGAACCGTCGGGGCTGCCTCGCCATGTAGCTGGTGCTCTGCTAAGGCGGCGTACAAATCCCAGCACGTCGCTGCTTGCCCGGTGTTGCAACAGACCGTCACTGTCCGTCTCATTCTTCTACACGATGTCCCTCCCGAGCAGCTTATAACCTCCGCTCCAGGAGGCGGAGTACGGTCTGCTCCAGTGTTGGGGCGAGAAGGGAGCAGCGGCCTGTCTCATTGGGGAAGCGCCTTGTCGAGAGTGGAGGGAGCGCAAATGAAGCGGCAAGGGACGCCAGTCATCCTGAAGAGCCAAAGTGCGCGCTTCAGCTTGTTGGAGACATACATACATACATACATACGTACATACATACATACATATATCATACATACTTTTTTCTTTTACGCAGGCTTGGAGACTGCACAGTGGCGCCCACTGCAAGATCCTGAATCCGTGAAACTACTCCATCGGACTGAAGATCCCTTTCGAATCGATCTGACGCCCAGAGAGACTATGGCCAAAAAATGTACGCAGAAAAAACACACACCTACGAGTAGCTACACCCGTGCTTAACGCCTTGAAAGTCCGGGAAGGTGTCCGAGGAGCCGCTGCTGAAGGGCGACAGGGCAGCAGAGGCCGCCGAAGGCTGCGGCCCGCGGATCAGCGCAGTGGCTCAGGACCGTTTGGGGAGGGGGCCATTTAGGGTTTAGGGAGTAAGGGGAGGGGGCTTCGATTTTCGTTTTTTTGCATTTGGTCCCTGCCTTCAACTGATCGGCACATTCGGAGGAGGGATAACCTGCATGAAGGAAGCGATGCGTAGACGTCAAGACATAAGGACTGGGAGAAGGGCACAGCGAGCTTCTTGTGTCAGAGCTGGGCATGTAGTCTTTGTTCTCTTCATCTGAGCATGTAACCTTTGTTCTCTCCATCATTGTTGTGTCGCACTTCTCATGCTTGTGTCCTTCTCATCATCAACATCACCAGTCGCAAGGCTATCAGCAGTCGCCATCAGTCTTACCTCCCATATTTGCATGGTTTCCAATACCTCTCGCGGAGTGAAAAGCAGGGACCTACCTGTTGAGATCCCCAAAAGGCCTCGGCGATGCGCGGCTTAGGTTGGACAAGCCTGACGCTAGCCGCTAGAGATAGGGAAGCACCCTTTTTCTGTAGGAGTTAAGTATGGGGTTCAGTCTCAGTCTACGAGTAGTAGATGACCCCCCCCAGCTTGAATCCTAGCAGCACCAGCTGAGATCTTCCCAGGCGGCAGATGACGAAGCCTGCGAGCGCCTGGCTGACTTGGCTGGTGCCCAAGCCGAGGCGGCAAAAGGGAAAGCCTGTCACCATGCGCTGATCTGCTCGCTAGCCCAAGCCAGCTCTCCCTCCCCTCTCCCTCCCCTCTCTCCCTCGCTCTGTGGATCTAAATCTTTTGCCCTCATGGCGCTTGCGAGGTGCAGCTTCTCGCAGGCTCGGCCGTGAAGCGGAGAATCGGCTTCGATCCTCCCTTTGATGCTGTGACAGTGCCAGTTCTGAACCTCGAAGTCTCGTGGAAGGCCTTGGGAGCCAGGTGGCGGCGGCTTTGGCGCTGGCCGCGGCAATGCCGCGGCAGCAGGCCCTTGCTTCCGTGCAGAAGGGTGAGGATGAGGAGGAGCTGCTGAGAGCTCCTGGAGGCGCCCAGGCTGCCGCAGCGGCTGCTCCGCACCGCGGCGGCCTGCCAGAGGCGCGGCGGCACCGGCACCGGCACTGCCTCCCGGCAGTCTTTGTCTGGAGCCGGAGGCTTGCGAAGCGTCTCGTGGCGAGCTCCCTGACCTCCGACTTTCTCAAGGGACTCTGGAAGGCGGAAATTAAAAGAGAGGAGGCAGCAGGTCGCAGCAGGGCTGGGCCCCAGAACCCTTTCGTGACAAGGCTTGCCTCGAAGCCGCCACCTCGCCGCCCCCCAGCAGCGGGAGCTCCTCCTCACGGCGGAAGAGCGGCAAGAGCTCTCTGAACGGCGCAGGACGCGGCGGAGGGATGCGGCCCCGAAAATCCTAAGCTCTTCTTTGGGAGGCTCCGTTGAGGCGGCCACGCTGCTCTTGGAGGTGGCTTTGATGCGCCCCAAGGCCTTCGCAGCACCTCGGCCGTGAGTGTTTTTTAATGCGAGCCTGCCCCAAAGAGTTTCTCATGCAAGGTTTATAGGGCTTAGGCGGCTTAGGGCTTTTCTCTTCTCTTCGGATCCCAGGGCGATCTGCATGCAAGCCTGACTTGCGGTGCAGCGGCGTTGAGACCTGTGTCTCGGCTGCAGTCACGCGAAGCCACTTCCCGAAGAGCCAGATGGACGACACTGACCACTGTGTGCCCAAGTCCAGCCCATTGGGCAGCAAAAGAGGCACGCATAGGATGCGAGGAATTTAACGTGCTTTGAAAGAACTGACTTCTGATGTGCCAACATGACACCAGCAGATGCGCTCATAAGAGAAAAGATGCAGATGCAACTTCGACTGGTAGTCGGGGTTACAACGGGTTTACACACCCTTAATGCCGAACCTAGGAACCACTCGCCGGTTTTGAGCCATGGCACCTAAACAGGGTCTATGCATGTCTATACTTGCAATGTAGAGTTCTAGAGAGCAGGCCTTCGGCTAAGTATTTCGGGTTGCAGCGAGCCTTGGGCCGACCCAAAGCCTCAACGCTAAAGAGCCTCAAAGCTCTCCGAAAGCCAAGGCTTTGCTGCAGCTGTCGCTCGGCTCTCACGGAGGCCCAGCGCGCTTTAGGGGCAGCCTGAGGCTGACCCTAGCCCATGACTTGTACTGAAGCCCCCTATCACGACTTTGATCGGCGCATGTCTCGGATGCGGAGGCCCGCCTGGCATCCGAGCCAATGCGCTTCTGCTCCTTCGTAGCCTCCTCGTGAATGGCTGGGCTGCCGTGCTGCCCTCGGTCGCTTCCAGTTGCAACTTGCACAATGCCATAAGGGATTGTAAGCCTCAGGATCAAATGATGCTGGTTCTCATCCTTTCCCGCCTCGCGAGTACGGAGGCCCCAAGTTGACGCTGTCTCTGGCACTTTTGACGATGAGACGGCGGGAGCATGCAGGAGAAGCAAGTTCGAGCTGCATCGGTGGCCGTCCTCGAGAGCCTTCAGGCAGCCCCAATCTAGAAACTAGGTTCGCTTTCCTTTCAGCACCTGTGCAATTTCTGGAGGGTTTCGTTCGTAGTGGAAAAAAGCATCCTCCTTTACCGCAGGCGGCCTCGCTGCAGGATGACTCAGTGGACGCCTTGGTGGAGGCCGTCGCTATGTAGGATGCACCACACTGCACGCTAGACCGATCTTAGTGCTCGACATCGAGCTCTGTTGTGCAGTTCTTCTGCCCGTCTCTGCCTACAGGCTAAGCTCCTGCTGCCCACTGCATCCGTTGCGCCAGAGAAGGCGATCGCCACATCCTTGCACAGTGAAGCAGGAACTTGCGTGATGCGAAAGCGCAGCTCAAGGCTCAAGTGTCCTGAGGTCCTGAGAGAGGCCCTTGAAGAGCTGTGATGGCAAAGAGGGGTCCAGGCTTGTGGGTGCCGTTCAGCTTCTTTTCCTGGGCGGCGGTCTTTGGCGCCTTCCTCACTTACAGGGTTCTTCGCATTCTCAATGTGCCACTCACGGACACCTCCTTACGGCCCTTTGCAGCTCCCCTGCTGCGTGCCTGCGCCACAACGGCCGCCGCGGCCGCCACGGCTGTCTGTGCCGACCTGCAGCCAAACGCCATGAATCCCTTGCCTCCTGCGTTTTGGAGCGCAAGAGGCTTCGATCTGCAGTATAAACTGCAGTCCTCCTGGAAGACCATGGCCCAGGAGAGCCAAAGCTTGAAATGTGAGCTCAAGGAGTTTTGGCAGGGTACAGACTATGGCACGCATATAGAAGAGGAGGGAGTGTGCAGTCTGACATGTGCGCCATATGAGGGTCCGGACCGCGCAAAACTGTACGTTGAGATTGCCCTCGAAACAGCTGGTGTTGTGCCAGCCATCGTGACACAAGGAATCTTACCCCGCTCCTTGCGGCTGTTCCTGGAGGTGTTTGTGGCCTTCTGGCTTCTGTACTTCACCCAACAGTTTCGACATTCTCATCGACATGTGCCAGCTGCGCCTGTGTCAGCACCAGCAGTCAGTGAGGGTGATTCCTTCGCATGATGCGCATCATGACTGCAGTCCTTGTGTATCGTGTACAGTTTAATTCACTGCACCGCAGAATTCCGATGATGCGCTTGTGTTAACTGTCATTCGGATTCCTGCGCGGGCCTTGTGTAAAGTCGCTAGGCAGGATCTCAGTGCTTTCAGTGTGCTTCTGACCGGCAGTTCCTGTCAGCTCTACAATTCTACAACCTCGAGCCTGCGCCAGAACGGTGCTTGTACAGCAATCTCCTCAGACTCGGTTGAGGCGCTGCTGCAGTAAAGCGACACTGGTGTGACATGTAGAGCATGCAGCGGCCGTCAAGACGGGGACTCGATGAATGAGATTTCAGGGCGAATGCTCCTTCGTCTCTACTGTTCCCACAGCGGGCAAGGACATCAGACGCTCCTAGGATATTATTCTGACTGCCACGTAACCGGGTCCCATGAAATGTACCTGTGGAGTCGCATGAGCGCTGCAACGTTGCGCCCATTCACAGGTGTGTTCCTCTATGGGGCAGCTGCCCCAAGAGCTGTGGTCGAACTTGCTGGAGTTGCTCCTGCAGCAGAAGGCAGAGCTTCTGCAGGAGGGCTGTCTCGAACGCAAGGCCGTAGAAAGCGGCAGCTCCGTTCCAGAGCCGCAGGATCCTGTCGCGGCCCACAACGTCCTGCAGAAGGTCCTGGGCCTCAAGGGCGGCCTCCCAAAAGCATCCCGGGAGCAGGCAAGGATTGTCAAACAAGCAAAGGAAGCCGGGCGGTGTCGCGGTGTCACGCTTTCGTGGCGAGGCTTCCAGATTCTGGCTCTTCGGCTTGGCGCGACTGGTGCGGGTGCCCAAAAGCCTCGGAAGCCACGCTCTCTTCGGCTCTCTGAGGAGCCGCAGTTGGCAAACGGCCTCACGACGGCGCTACCCGGAGCCCTCTCGCTCCGCAGTGCGCAGGCGTCGAGCCAGGTTTTGCCTCCAGAGCGCGATGTTTCCGCTTTTGCAACTTTGCACACAGGATCCCTTGGCCAAGACCGCACAATGGGCTGCGAAGTCGGCGGCAGCATCTTGGACTCATTGGACTCGGGGCTGTGTTCGCTCGTCGAATGCGTAATGTCGCGCAACATCGCGAGCCCCGCGTATGCCGAGTCCGAGGCACCTTCGCTGCTGTTGGCGGCTTTCTCCATGTTCTTGCATCTGGCCGCAGGCCCGGCGGGTCCGGCAGGCCCGGGCTCTCGGACGTGTGTCGCGATCGCACTTCGCCAGGAGCCTTGATGAGCGCTGCGGAGAAGATTCGGAGCGCTGCGCAGGCGGATCCCCCGAAAAGAACGTGACAAAGGCTGCAGGCTGCAGGCACTGCAGGCTGCTATCAGATACCAATTCCACGAAGAACCGAAGCTTAGAGATTTTCTTGTCGTCGACACTGGCAGGACGCCGCAGTGGAGGCGATGAGGCCTGCGGTTGGGAAAGGGGTCCCTGTAGACGGCATCAGCGGTTGCTGCTGCGGAAGCCGGCAGCGGCTCCTCTCAGACACGTTCTGAGAGCAGCCTCCTTTGCTAGACTGCAACCTTGTAGGGGGGCACCGAGTTCAGGATTCGCAGAGCAGCTTGGGTCAGTCGAGGAAAGCGCAAAATCCCTGGCTGGGAAGAAGGTCAATCCCTTGCCCCCACTGTGGCGGTTTGTGGAGAGAGGTCACAGACGAAATCGGATCCCTGCAGCCGGAGCTGAGAAAGTCAATACAGCTCCTGTCCCCGCGCTGTTGAAGCTTTCCCCGGGCCGCCGCCAAAGCTCTGGAGGGAGAAAGGGTGGGGGGGGTGCTGATATGTTGTGATGCTGATGCCCGAAAGTTGGAGGCTCTAAGTGCCAGAATTCGATGACAGTGCGCACTTTCGGCACACTTGCACTCCTTCCAATAAAGGCAGATGACCGTGGATTCATGTATCTAAAACCCGAGAGCCTTCGTCGCAGAAGTTGCTGGAAGAGCTGCTGCGAGGCAAGTGGTTCTCCCCTTCGCTTCTGGCCTCACGCAGCTCTTGGAGAAGGCTAAGGAGGCCGAGCTTACTATCTTTTCAAAGCCTGTAAACAGCCCTGAGAGCCCGGTAGCTGCAGATTCTCTGGGGGGCCTGTCTCCGCATGTTGCTGGCTTTCCGCATGGCAAGGCGCCTTCCTGGGACGCCCAGCAGGTCCGGATAGCTGGGCTCACTTGCCCGGGGCCTCAGAGAATGCGGCTAAACTGAAGATTTCAAGAAAGGGGCCCTAATTACCCAGAGACCCTAAACAGAAGGATCATTCCTGTGTTAAAAGAACACCCAATTTTCGGAGGAGCCAAAGTAGGATTGCAACACATGAGGTTTGGTACAGGATTGCGATACTTGGATCCGCCCACGTTCCTCACATTCCATTCCCAAACCCCCCTCTCCCTCCCACGTCCCTCTACGCCAACTGCTGTTGGAAGGTGAGGTGCTGAGCAAGGTGGCGGGAGCCTTTGCAGCCCACTCCGTGCAGGAGGAGCTGGTCACAGAGGCCCTGAAGGTGCTCTTCAGGCCGGGGGGCTAATCGGCTCATGGGGGGCAGTTGGGGCTCAGAGTTTTCGAGGTGCTCGCTGAGCCTTGAATCCGTGGGTTTGGGGTTGTGGGGATGCCTATATAGGCCCTTGGAAAAGGTACTGCCTGGCTGCACGAGCCCTTGGCCCAGCCGATGGCAGCTTCGCTTCAGCCGGGGAACCCAGGCGGAGCTCAGGTAAGTAAGACGCATGGCCTTCAAGTTGCCTAGGATTGGGGTTTGGGCTTTCGGTTTTTGAGGATGTCATAAAGGTTGACAGGGTGCGTTAGGAGAGTGCTGGGATAGCCCGGAGGCTCCGGTCGTTGCGCATCCTTGCGCCGAGGTGGTTGCCAAGGCTTCTGCTGCCCTCTCTGAGGCGCGCGCGGATGGGAGGTGCAGAATTCTGGATTTATGGGGTTTCTGGAATTATGGGAGAAAAGGGATGTCAGAGTTTGCATTGTGGGATGGGAATCGGGGGCATCATGGGAATTGAGGTGTATGATCCATATTCTCAATGCAGGCGCTGGTGCGAAGGAGCTGCCCCCAGGCCCTCGCGTAAAGGAGCCATGTCTCGCGCGCTGAGGGATTGCTTTCCCACGGCCACGAGCGACAGCTTTCAGCACGACGGGCTATCCCCGAGCGGGCAAGAGACCAGGTACCGGATCAGTCGCCAAACGGACCTGGAGGACGACGACCGGAGCTGGCGGGTGGAAATCGGCAGCTTGGTGCTGAGCCATGAGGACGACAGGGGGAGGGACTTTGCCAAGGAGGTTTTCACGGTGTCCTACAAAGGCAAAGTGATCTGCCAGTCGAGCGATGCTCGTGCACGGGCCGGCAGGTTCAATGAGCCCATGGCGGTTCGTGAAGGGTCTGCTGAAGCTGTCTTGGAAGCGCTGACGGAGGTGGCGGCTTCGGAGCAGCTCTCCCTGGAGGACTTCGTCAAGGAGCTTCCCCCAGACTTCTCCTGGGTCAAGAAGATGCCCGGAAGCAGCTGAGGCGCAGCTGAGTCTCAGCCGTCTGCCGGTCTGTACAGCTCTGGGGGCCATGGCACGCGAGAGGATGCGAAAAGGAAGAGCTGAAGAGGAGGGAAAGAGTTGCCTCCTGTCTCGGCTTCAGGCTCCGGTGCAGCCAGGCCGGCTCTTGCTGCTTCTGGAGGGCCGGGCACTCTGGGCAGTGCCTGGAATCTGACAGTTTTCTTTGAGAGGGGCTTCTTCCGCTGAGGCAGTGAGTTCCGGGGCAGTGCTCTCAAGGCCTTGGCTCAAACTCTCCTAAGTCACGGTGACCTTTGTCTGTGAAGAAGGCTGCGAGGGTGGAGGTGGCGGCAGAGATCCTCTGCGAACAGGAGCGAGACCCGGAAAAAACCTTGTCTGTGAGTGGTTCACTCAGTGCAAGGTTGCAGGGCTGGAGGCCACGGCGTCGGGGGAGGACTCCGCAAAGCTGCTGAGAAAGCTGGGCGAAGTGATCAAGGAGGCCAGGGGGATGGGATGTAGAGCCATGGCTGACGGACAATTGCTGCATTCCCCCTAATTTGGGATAAATACCCATGTACCTCCCGCAGAGAAGGGGCAGTTTTACGACACGTCTCTGCCCCGTGACATCGACCAAGTCGTCGTCTTGGATTCGTACCCCAAGACACGTGGCTCAGCACATGACGTCGATCCATGTCAACAGCTGGAGAAAGTAACCTGCATGGAGGTGGATGCAGTCGGATAGTGCCCGTGCAGCCTTCGTGATCCGAGTGCCCCTGAATGCAGCAGTGGCAAGAGAGCTTTAGCAAGAGTGAAATTAGCGCCATGGCGGCCTTTGCTGACTTCTTCGGTCAGGCAGCCGGCGCCATGCGGCCCGGCCCAGAGCCCGCCCAGCCTCACCTACACCCCCCCATAATTGCCCAAAGCCCCATAGCTGCCACCCCTCAAACCACCAAAAACATCCGAATCATTCTTTCTTCAGGACGCCTCGGGAGCAGCTGCGGGTCACGCTGCGCCGGGAGCAGGGGCTCGAGGTCAGGAGCCGGAGGACCGCGCAGGGTAGCGCGGGTAGCGCGCAGGGGTGGCCTTGACGTTACGGCGGATCTTACCGGGGTGACGGGGTGTGGGGTTGAATGTGGGGGGCTTGTAGGCTTCGCAGGGGCTGGATCGGCTAAAATTTATCGGAGATGTTTCTTCATTGGTGCGAAGCGCAGATGGTTGCAACGACTCTGGCAAGCACCGCGTGTCCAGGAAGTTGAGGTTTTCTTTCCTTTCTCGGTGCTTAGCTGCCTGGCGCCTCCGAGGAGTTGCGTATCCTTCGGCCAGATGACACTCTCAGCCACTGCCATGAGTGATGCGGTGACCCTGCCCGCCCTGCCCAGCTTTCGGGAGACCTACTTGTACAGATGCGTTCCGGCGGAATCTTCGAAGCGGGTTGCTTCTGGTTTATGCTGCGTCACTCTTTACCGGATTGAAGATTCAAGGGAAAGCGGCCCTGAAATCGAAACTCAGTGGCAGCTGAGGTTACAAGAGGAATGTGCGCTCAAGCGATGTGCTGGCCGACTCCGCGTTTCGGGACGAGGAGGAGGACTTGGACCTCTCGCAGATTAGAGCAGCTGTGCAGCAGAATGGAATTGAAAGGGAGTCCTCCTTTTCCGAAATTCCCTTCTGTTTTTGTTTAGAGTGGGTCCCTAAAGGCTGTGGCTGTTTTCTGCTCTGACAGTCTTCCTAAAGCGCAGGTACAGAGCCGTCCGCAGCAGCTGAGCCTCTGCATCCCGGCTTGCCCGTCGGCTCTCCCAGCCTCCAGGCACCAACAAAGCCTTACAGCAATCGCAGGGCGTCAAAAAAATCGTAGGAGTGTCTGAGTGTTCTCCGTTGGGGCGTGGGATCATCTGAGGTTCTCAATGCCTGGGCCAGCACCGCCATGAAGTCACTGGCGGGCTTGGCAGGCTGCGACCCAAACCGGCAAAAGAGAGAGGGAGCCTACGCCCTCCTGGCAGGTGGCCTCCCACTGGTGCAGGCCATGCAGGCGCTTGGCAGTGGGGGTGGCACTGCGCTGGACATGCCGCTGAAGCAGCTGGGACCAAGTCTGCCGATAGACGAGCTACGTAAGCAGGTGTAAGCTGGGAGATCTGGATGATAGAAGCAGCTAAGCAGCCATGGACAGACTCTGAAGATCGAATTTGTCAGTAGTAGTAGCAGCACTGATCTCGAGACCTCTTGTCCATGCCACGGTCAACGCAGCATCCGTGAACAGCTTCTGCTCCGGGAGGCGTCAAGGCCTGTGCTCTCAGGCTTGGGGGCGTCGGCTCCATCGACGCATTCCTCGAGGAAAGCGAGAAGTCCCTCGCGACCCACGTGGGGCTCTTCTCCTTGAGACTCGGCCCGCCAAAGTGCTACTTGTGCTACTTGTAAGATCCGAGCCGCCGAAGCCAAAGCTGCGAAGATCTGCAAAGCTATGCTTCGAGGACCTCCGCCGTGATGTTCATCGGGTCGATCAAGGGCCTGAACAAGCACTCGACGGCCCGGGAGGGGAACTACATGGGACCCTTGCAAGCGCTTTGCCATGCTTTGCCTTGTTGCGTTGCCGCATTTCTGCACCCGCCTGTTCATCTCAGGAATGGTTGCAACTGCTTTAGGCATCCTCTCTGTGCTGCTGTCCCCTGGTTTCCACTCCGCGCACATCCGCCTCTCGGCCCGAGATCCTTCGGAAGCTGCCGCGGACCGCGGATGCACTGCGACCTCACGTCTCAGGTTTCTTCCTCACCTTCTTGGCGGCTGGCGGAGTGGGCTATGGCATTGCCAGCACCGTGAAAATGGAGGACATGCCGCAGCTAGCAGCTTGGCCAATTGAATGCAGGTCATCCTTCTTTTAGCTTGGGCTTGACCCCACAGGTTGCGGGCTTCCATTCCTTCGTGGGCTTGGCTGCGGTCTTCGCCGGCTTCGCCAGCTACTGCAACGTGGCAAACCCCTACACGGTGATGAAAGCGCTGGAGACCGTGGTGGGGATTGCCATCGGCTCACTGACCTTTACCGGCTCTGTGGTAGCTGCGGGGAAGCTGCACGAGATGATTCCGGGCAAGCCTATCATCCTGCCACAGCGCTGGCTCTTGAACGGGGGGGCCTTGGCCGGAAGTGTCGTTCTTACGGCGCTCTTCCTGAATCCTGCAACCTATGCGTCGCATGCAGGGGCCGCCCTGCTCTTGGGGAACACGGCTTTGTGGGGCTTTCTGGGTGTCAACATGGTCTTGCCCATTGGTGGAGCGGACATGCCGGTGGTGGTGTCGCTCCTAAATGCCTTTAGTGGTCTGGCCACCAGCGCCGCCGGTTTCATGCTCTCCAACGACCTCTTGACCATCTCTGGAGCTTTGATCGCTTCCAGTGGTACGCTGCTCTCGGACATCATGTGCCGTGGGATCAATCGCTCCATGTACAACGTCCTCCTGGGCGGTTTCGGCACAGATTCCAGCAGCACTACGGCCGGCGGGGCGGCGGTGTCAGGTGGAAGGGAGAATGTGAGCGAAGTCTCGGCAGTCGGTTTCGTCGGCATGCTCTTCGGGGCAAAAAAGGTCGTGATAGTTCCAGGCTATGGCCTTGCAGTCGCAAGATGCCAGCAGAAGTTGGCAGAGATTGTGGCCATGCTGAGAAAGCATAATGTCACAGTGCACTTTGCAATCCATCCTGTTGCCGGCCGCATGCCTGGCCACATGAACGTGCTCCTGGCGGAGGCTGACGTACCCTATGACATTGTCAAAGAGATGGACGAAATTAATGCGGAACTTCCAACATACGACGTCGGGATTGTGGTCGGAGCCAACGACATCGTAAATCCTGCCACGCAGGACCTAGGCCTAGGGTCTGCACGAGGCTTTCAAGGTCACTTCTTCAGGTGAGATCGGGTCTGGTTCCTCGCATTGCATCGGATCTGGGTGTGGTCTTTCTCGCGCTTTGATCGAGGACGATCCAAGCAGCCCGATTTATGGCATGCCAGCCATCGAGATCTGGAAGTGCAAACAGTGTGTGGTGCTTAAGCGTTCAATGGGAACGGGCTACAGTGGCGTCGATAACCCGCTCTTCTACCTGAGCAATGTCAAGATGCCACTGGTCGGTGTTGTTTGTTTAAACGGCTTCCTCTTAAATGCGCAGAGCACATGAGAACTTCCTAAGCCTAAGTCCTACAAAGGCTTTTCGGAGATGCCAAGCAGTCCATGGACAACATCAGCAGCTGCTTGGAGGATTCAGTTGACAGCTCCTGTTGCGTTTTTCAGGTCGACGAGTTTTTGCTCAGACCATGCCACGGCAAAACGTGTGTTCTCAAGACCGCCGCTTGAAGCGTCCTCTCCAGGAAGATTTCCAAATCATCCGAACTTTCGTTGCATGGACGCTGTGAACTTTCAGGAAGGCTTGTCTCGAAGACGGGGGGGTGCTCCGCAGGACAGCCAAGACCGCTTCACCGCCGCTGCGGGCACCAGCTCCTCGGGCGATCACCAGGACACCAGCCAAGGCCCAGCCAGCTTCCTCTGTGCTGCTACGAAAAGCGAGGGAGAGACGCGTCTGCAGGTGTGGAGCCGGAGGTCTTCCCGGAGGCGGTCCGCGTCATCGGCATCCTTCGGGAGCGGCTTCCAGGCCCGGCGGTGGGTCCGTCGCATCTCCGAGTTCCGAGCTCTCAGCAGTTGTGGCTCTCAGGTGAAGCTCGCGTGAGCTTCGCGCCCTCGGCCGTGGTGAAGCTGCGGCGCATGGGCGCCTTGGAAGAGCCAGACTCCGGAGATGTTTCGCTCTCTCTTTGGCTCTCTTGATGGCCTCAGGGGCAGGCTCACGCACTAAGATGTGTGCACCACCCTGCTTTCGACCAGTCTTGACACCGGGCCACCAGCCTGACGGAGCTGTGCTCGCTGCGTTTTCAACGCCTCCAGTTCTCGCTTCAGCACCTGCAAACATGCCGAGGCTTCTCGATTTTGTTGGAGGCCGGCTCCGGCACTGCCGCGGGCTTCACGGACGAGGAGTACACGAGGCACGGCGGCGTTCAGGTCGCCGAGAGCTCCGTGGAAGTGCTGAAGCAAGCGGACATCATCTTCAAAGTCACGGAGCCCTTGCTGGACGAAGTGCAGATGCTACAGGGGACGCAGACGCCTGGGCCTCGGCTCTCGGCCGCCTCGGCCGCCGGGCCTCAAACGTTCCGTCCCAGCTCAGGATGGTGGGCTTCTGGAACATGTACGGCACCCAGGAGCTCCTCGCGGCCCTGGCGCAGACCTCCGCCTCGGTGCTGCGCCCCGGCTGCACGCCGAGCGACGCAGACGCACACCGATTGCCTGCCGGCCGGGCCGCCAGGAATCTGGCGCTGGTGCCGCGGGTCTCCCGAGCGCAGAAGCTGGATGCCTTGACCTCCATGGCCAACATCGCAGGATGCCTGGTTGCGAACATCTTAAAATACCCGTATATGTGCATCAGCAGCACCAAGATATACCGATACGCACAAGAAGACGCAAGACAAAGTCCGTGCACAGCGATCGGGAGTGTCAGTGCCAGTCGCTAAACCTGGACACACCCTTTTTGGGGAGCGGGGTCCGGGGAAAGGGGGCGGAATCCATGCTTACCCTCTACACAACTCGGGGCCCTCCCCTCAGCGGGCTGGCAGCTCCCCGAGGCTACCGAGCCATCTTGGATGCTTTCGGCCGCTTCCCCCGTTTCAGCCGCGCCGGGTCCACGGCGGCTGAGCTGCAGCATGCTGCAGCTTCCGATGCGAGAGGGAGGCGGCTTCTACGATGCGTCGTGCGCCGTTCCTGAGGCGTTCGGCTCGGTTCCACCGGCAAAAGTCTTCGTGATCGGTGCCTTTGCTGAAGGAGGCTTTTGGAGCTCTCCGGTTCACTTTGCTGAGCTCAGAAGCTCAGAAGTGCAGATTGCATGGCTCGATGTAGGTCGTCGCCTTCATGTCTTAGGTGCAGGCGTCGCTGGGCTGAGCGCAATTGCAACGGCGCACTCGCTCGGTTGCAAGGCCAGCAGACATGGATTAGATATCTGCCTCTCTCAACCTCTGGGTGCACAACGCAGTGCTAAAACACCCGTGACCCGCGCTTGGATTCTGCCGTTGGCTGACCTGGCCAGGTCTTTGCGAATGATGTGCGGGATGCCGCCCGCGAGCAGGTGGAGTCCATGGGCGCCCAGTTCATCGCCGTCGACGCGCAGGGCATCGCAGGCAAGGAAGTCCGGAAGTTGCCCCCAGCATTCGAAGCAAAGCCTGCGCCCATGGAGGTGAAGGTGCTGGTGGTTATGCCACGGCCAAATCCCAAGCGAAGGTCCGGGTTCATGGATGCGCTGGCTTTGTGAGTACTGCAGGTCATGGGCGAGGATTTCACCCGGGCTCAGATTGCCACCTATGCCCGTGTCATCCCCGACATGGACCTGCTTTTGCTGAGGGGTGCGTGGGTCTCGCTGTAACGACAGAGCCGCTAGGGCCGCTAGGGCTAGCGGCTAGGGCTCGGGCTGGGAATATGCTGAAAGGACGTGATTGTCACCACGGCCATGATCCCAAACAGAGCTGCGCCAGAGCTGATCACCAGCGAGATGGTGGCCAGCATGCGGAAGGGGTCGGTGATCATCGATCTGGCGGCGCAAACCGGTGGCAACTGTGTGTACACGGAGCCGAACAAGGCGGTCGTCTCTCCGAATGGCGTGACGGTCGTGGGAGCGGCTCTGTCGCAAGGAATTGGGATGAATTGGGGTTCTGCCATCGGTCACGCTGTGGTTTCTTCGACGAGACTGTGCCTCAAAGGGCTTCCATTTCCATGTCCTAGGAGACGAACTATGCATCCCAGATGGCATCGCAGTCGAGCGAGATGCTGGGTAGCAACTTCACTGCCATGCTGGAGGCCTTGCGAGTGGAAAGTCGAGTGCATGGCCAAAAGTTGCTGCCCCGATTCCGCAGGTGCTGGGAGGTGCCCAGAACTTCGGCGGGGAGCACTGGGACGACCCAGTTGTGAAGCCAGCGATCGTGGCCCGCGGCGGCGCTGTCGTTTGGGACCCCAACCCACCCAGGCAGAAGCAAGAACCTCAAATTTGAATCACGACTGTCGTACAAGTTGTAGTCTCAGGCCGCCGGCGGCGGCCCCGACGGGAACCGCGGTGGAGGGCAACGGCATTGGCGGCTTTGGCGGTGCCTCGCCGATGCCTCTGCCACCACCTGAGGAGGCGAATGCTGTGATCGCCTGGATCCAGGCACCAGCGTCAGCGACAGTTTTGGAATGTCCTACCTGCTTACACGCAATGCTGCACTTGTGCGGAAAGTCTCAGAAAGCACGTAGCCTAGCTTGACCCGTGTCTGCTTTCAGAGCGCAGAACAGCTACGCTTCATCGCAGGAGCACAAGGACGAGTTGGCACTGGGTGTGGGCGGCGCCGTGGTGCTTGGCTTGGGCCTCGCAGTGGATATCCCCGAGGTACAGAAGCGGGGAGGGGGGGGGGGTTGGAACCCATTCACAGTCATAGTCGGGACGATTGACTAGTGACGAGGGGGCCGGTAGGGCCTGAAGGGTTTGGGATTCCGGGGTTAAAGGTTTTCTGGACTCCACTGCTTCCGGCGTGCTGAGCTGCATGTTCTTCGAGTGCAGGCAGAGGTCACGCACCTGGGCTACTTTGTCCTCTCGTGCTTGATTGGAGCCTTGGAGAGTAGGCTGCGTAGGCAAACATCTGTCCGCGCTTGACGGAGGGAGTCTTCTGAATTGGACCCAAACAGGCTTAAGGCAAGGTAGAAGTGGCCCGTGGTGTGGAAGTCGGGGAGTGCCGTCGCAGAGACCCCAGGCCCAAAGTCGCACATGCAAGCACCTTAAGGAAACTTTACAGTGGCCGGCGTGACTCCGGCGCTGCACACTCCGCTCATCAGTGCATCTTGGAAGCAACGCGAGGTATGCGAGGTGCTGTGTTTCTCCCATGACTTTGGACTTGGGTCTCTGAGGTGACGAATGCCATCAGCGGCATCATTGTGGTGGGCGGAATGCTGCAACTCAGTGGCCCCGTGCTTTCTGCGCGCGTGGCCTGTGCTCTGGCAGCAGTGTTCCTCTCGAGCGTGAACATCGTCGGTGGCTTTGCCGTCACGGCTCGGATGCTGGACATGTTCCGCGAGGATGCCAACCCAAAGAAGGCTCTGGCAGAAAGGTCCTGAGATGTCCTGAGGGTCCTGAGGCGAGGCTCCTCATGGGGCCCGGACTCGGACCCGGCACTCCGGGACTTTTGTACAAAGCTCGCATCTTACGTCGAATTACCTCACTGATGGAGAGTGCCCAGCGGGCATCTCCGTGAGTCACGAGGGGATGACAAAGGGAAGTCAACAAAAGAGAACCAGTTGCCTGCAGCTTTCACTACAAGGGCCAAAGAGCCACAGTTCGCGTTGAAGACATCTCACAAGCTTTTGAGAGGCCGGCCGCCAATCCGGAGGCAGCCCACTGCGCCTTGAAAACTTCACCTTCCATTGCTGGGGTCTGCAGGTGCTCTAGTGCCCCTACTGCTTGCCCTCGCCGCTCTCACGGACAAGCTGACGCAGGCCTGGTTGCAGCCTTGGAGCAATGAGGGACGGGGTTATTCCACGCGGGCACGGCGTGTCGAAAGGCAGCTGCCGACGGCTGGGATGCGCTGGCCTGAGCTTACAGCCGACGTACATGCAGACTTTTAGTTGGAGGCTGTTGACTTAGCCTCTCCGGTCCTGTCGAAGAGGGTCACATGCGGTAAGCTGTCAGCTGTTGAGCCATGCCACGATAATTAATGAGGAGCAGTTAGACTCTTCAGGCCAGGCTCAAGGGACACGAGCACAAACGGTCTTCAGCCCCATAGAATCATAGACTTGGCTGTTGCCGAGGAATTCAACTACTGAGTAGAAATATTCCTCGCAGAGCCCGTGTGACTGCGTTCTTGCCCCTGGGCCTGGCAAAGCTGAGGTCTCTGCAGTTGCAGATGAGGTTCCCGAGGTTTGCCGCTGCGTTGACCAGGCCAGCCCCCAAGCCACTGTAAGCCCCCGAAGCTCCATCCAACACCAAAGCAAGAAAGCCTACACACACACACACACATATATATATATATATATATATACATATATATATATATAGATAGATAGATAGGGAGCCCCACAGCAGGAAGCTAGCCCTCAAAACCAGATGCTTCTCCTTTTGGAGGTCGCTGCGACGCTGCCGTCGCAGGGGTTGGCGCCCGTGCTGCGATGCTGCGGAGGACTCGCCACACTGGCGATGCTCGGCACGCTTTCGGACGACTTACTACCGACTACTGTGATGCAGCTCAAGTGCAGCTCAAGCGCATTCTCTTTCGCTGAAGCCAGGCGGCGCCAGGCGTGGAGGCGGCCTTTGCGACGTGCACCCGGGCGCTGCGACATCACGTGCGGGGCCCCGCTGGCCCGGTAGCGACGGGACGCGTCGACTCGTCGAGCAGGGAGCGGCCCCGACTGGAGCCGAGGCGCAGCCGCTGCGCCCGGAGCTCCTGGCGCTGCTCCGAGGTAATCTGAGAAGACTCTGGAGGCGCGATGTGACTGAACGACGAAGGGCGGAGTCCAAGGAGGTCGATTGGAGTCTCAGAGTTGGCAGGCAGCCGCGCACCGAGGAGAGCGACTGGGCCCTGCAGTCCCAGGTCCGGGCAGAAAGGCAGCCCCAAGGCGAGAGAGCAGAGCTGAGAGTGCCGAGAGGTGCGGCTGCGGACTTTGCTCGGCACCATCTTTGACAGCGGTCTCATCGAGGAGGGACAGCAGGAGTGCAGCAAGCAAGCATGTCTAAGTCGAAGTCATTGCCAGGTGTCCAAAAGCAATTGCCTAGCCCTCGCCCAAAGCGCGGGAGTCAGGCCGATCTACTTGAGCTTGTACTAGTTTCTGAGTCGCGGATGATGCTTGTCTGCGGCCGTGCAACACAAGGGCGTCGCTGGACTTCATCGTTGTTCTACTTCTGGCCGTGACCCGAGCCAGGAAGCAAAGTGGAAGTCTGCAAACAAAGATTTCTTTGGCATGATTATAATGCTATACTGTATTGTAGTTTGTGCCAGTATTTCGCTTACAGACTTATACAGATACAGTTCTTAGTCTTACTATAATACTAACAGTACTACAAATCACACTCCTTACTAATTACGACGACGACGACGACGACGACTACTACTACTACTACTACTAGGTGCCACGCTGCTAATTGATCGCAGTGTTTTCGGGCTTGGTGATGTTTGCTGAAAGATCTTTCGCGTCATGGACCATTTTGCATGGTGCGAACTCATGAGGGCCAGAATTCCCGGGCAACTACTTGTTGGAGGATGACAGCAGGAAGATAAATTGATCGTGTGGTTCAATTTGCTTGAATTGGAAGCTAATGTTTTGAGAAGACGCGAAGCGAAGTGCTGTAAGATACAAGGCTTCATGCGTCGAGGTAGGCGTGGATTTGCCCGCGCGGGGGGTGAAGGCAATGATACAGAGGCGGTGAAACTAGTTACTAGTTTTAGTGGCGTGGCGACGCGGAAGAGAACATGATCTGAATACAACATTAGACCTCATGTGTTTCCCTGCATACGTACATACATACATCAAAACACACACACACACACATATATATATATATATACACATTGGTATATATATATATACACATATATATATATATATATATATATATATATATATATATATATGGTCCCCCCCCCCCCCCCCCCCAAGATCTACACCCGCCTCTTCCACACGATTCCACAGGTTGCTTCTCTACATTGGTCGACTACTCATATATACCGAAAACACCGTAAATGCCGATGCAATCGTGCTTTACCTCATGTGCATGCAAACCGTGCTGCTGCAAGGCGCGGGTTTGATATGTGTAAAAATCTGGAGCCGAATCTCGGCCGCGGATTTATGGTAGTTTATGTGTTGGAGAAGCTGAAATGCTGGAGGGCGTGCTAATTTTGTTCATGTAATTTGTTCATGTAATACTGAAAAACCTCGTGTTTTTTGCATTTTATGGTGTGTTATTTAACAACATTCCTCTAATAATAAACATACTATTGTCTCTCTTACGAAGACGTCTGCGTGCGTGGGCCATCTCTTTCCCGCTGCTCGTGAAGCGTCCGATTCTGATGCGGCCTAATCGCTCTAGCGTTTGATTTATGAGTTACGAAATACAAAGAGCTCCTGTCATGTCCTGTCCCATTATACATGAAGGAAGTCGAATATACGGGCGTGTTCATTCTTGAAGTAATACTCCAATAGTTGTTTTTTGCCTGATAAGAAATGGGAAAGCTCCCCTGGAGTTGAAAGGTTCATGTGCATATGCGGGCGCACAAGAAGGCTCGTCTGCAGCAAAAAGTAAGAGAGCTCTTGCAACCTTCCAAGCATGAAGCAGGACTGTTCATACTTATCAAACAAGAGTACTGAAAACCGTTGCTGTTCCAGAAGGCACATAAGACAGTACTTCCGGCCCTTGACAACGGTTGAAAGCACCCAATTATCTTGTGATGCAATATATCCTGTCCTGGACATCAGAAAACACTGTAATGCTCAAAAAATTCCAAAATTTCCAACCCTGAAATTCACAAAACACTGTAATGCTCAAAAAATTCCAAAAATTCCAAAATTCTGGCATCTATGGCCAGGCCGGGGGCAAATTCCTTAAAACTTTGGAATTCTTTGAGCATAGCAGTGTTTCGTGAGCTTTGAGGCAATGAAAAGTGGATTTTTTTGAGCATTACAGTGCTTTGTGAATTTTAAGCCACGAAACACTGCTATGCTCAAAAAAAATGAGCTTTGAGGCTGTGAAAAGTTGATTTTTTTTGAGCATTACAGCGTTTTGTGAGTTTTCAGACCACGAAACACTGCTATGCTCAAAAAAAGTGAGCCTTGAGTCTGTCAAAAGTTGAATTTTTTTGAGCATTACAGTGTTTTGTGAGTTTTAAACCACGAAACACTGCTATGCTCAAAAAATTCCAAAATTTCCAACCCTGAAACTCACAAAACACTGTAATGCTCAAAAAATTCCAAAAATTCCAAAATTCTGGCATCTATGGCCAGGCCGGTGGCAGATTCCTTAAAACTTTGGAATTCTTTGAGCATAGCAGTGTTTCGTGAGCTTTGAGGCAATGAAAAGTGGATTTTTTTTTGAGCATTACAGTGCTTTGTGAGTTTTAAGCCACGAAACACTGCTATGCTCAAAAAAAATGAGCTTTGAGGCTGTGAAAAGTTGATTTTTTTTGAGCATTACAGCGTTTTGTGAGTTTTCAGACCACGAAACACTGCTATGCTCAAAAAAAGTGAGCCTTGAGTCTGTCAAAAGTTGAATTTTTTTGAGCATGACAGTGTTTTGTGAGTTTTAAACCACGAAACACTGCTATGCTCAAAAAATTCCAAAATTTCCAACCCTGAAACTCACAAAACACTGTAATGCTCAAAAAATTCCAAAAATTCCAAAATTCTGGCATCTATGGCCAGGCCGGTGGCAGATTCCTTAAAACTTTGGAATTCTTTGAGCATAGCAGTGTTTCGTGAGCTTTGAGGCAATGAAAAAAGTGGATTTTTTTTGAGCATACAGTGTTTTGTGAGTTTTAAACCACGAAACACTGTAATGCTCACAAAAAATCAACTTTTCACAGCTTCATAGCAGTGTTTCGTGGTTTAAAACTCATAAAACACTGCAATGCTCAAAAAAAATCAATTTTTCCAAGCCTTGAAACGCACGAAACACTGCTATGCTCAAAAAATTCCAAAGTTTTAAGGAATTTGCCCCTGTCCTAGCCATAGATGCCAGAATTTTGGACGGTTGGAAATTTTGGAATTTTTTGAGCATAGCAGTGTTTCGTGGTTTTAAACTCACAAAACACTGTAATGCTCAAAAAAAATCAACTTTTCATTGCCTCAAAGCTCACGAAACACTGCTATGCTCAATGAATTCCAAAGTTTTAAGGAATCTGCCACCGGCCTGGCCATAGATGCAAGAATTTTGGAATTTTGGTGATTTTTTGAGCATTACAGTGTTTCGTAAGTTTCAGGGTTAGAAATTTTGGAATTTTTTGAGCATAGCAGTGTTTCGTGGTCCCCATGCCCCAAGAACCACGAAAGCGTAGATCTTGGGGGTGTGAGCATATATATATATATACATTATACATATATATATATACATATTATATATACATAATTATATA